CCGCTACCCCAAGGCCACGGACAGAAAAGCGTCCGGTGCCACGTGACCGTGTGGTAGGAGCCGTGCGATACATCGTCCCACTGCTCGGCACGGCCACCGCGTCGCGCTATGCACCGAACGGAGCAGCGTCCGAGGTCACGCACTTTTTTGCCAGCACTGGCGAGGGCCCGTGCTGCCTGTGCCGCTGGCGAGGGCCCGTGCTGCCTGTGTGCCGCTGGCGAGGGCCCGTGCTGCCTGTGCCGCTGCGACCGCGGTTTCCACTGCAATTTTCAAACATGTAAGGACTTATGCCTTTCTTCCCGGACTAGCCCAAATAAAATGCCCTGTGTGAGTGCCACTGTTTATGTTGTTGGGTTTCTATTCTCGACCGTTGTGCGTGCCACATTTTGTCTTTCTTGCTGATGCGCTACCTTTCCTTTTTAGCGGATATCATTGCATGAAATTGCATGTTTATTAATCGTGTGCATGCGCTTCAATCTCCTTTACGTGCCGGTTGTCTGGCCACCCAAACAGGTCAGCCAATAGCATGAATGGACGACGGCGGAACTATGCACGAACAATTCCAACAGCATTGCTCTCCATGTGTCAGATTCGGCCGCCTGTGGCAGTCCAATGCCTTCAGTGCAGTTTGTCACTTGCTGTGTTTTTGTATTCGTTATATGAGTGTTATTTCAAAAATTGATTTCCAGCGCTGGAAAATAATCTGCCGGAGAGGCACGCTTTGAAGTGAGCGTAATTTATATGATGTTTTATTCTATTTGATAAATGATCGTATGGGCTTCCTTCTCAAATGGATGTTTTGCACTAGAATGTTTTAAAATGGTACGGGTTTCCTGTCCCAAATGGTACGCCGTGTTATGCAAATATTTCATCTGTATCTAAGCTGCCAAAACGCTTTCAGAGGTACGCCGCTGCTCATGAAATCTGCTATCTTTGTACGTAGCGTTATCGGAACAGAGGCAGCTTTAAATGCGCTCATTAAATCCGCTGCTCATTAAATCTGCTATCTTTGTACGTAGCGTTATCGGAACAGAGGCAGCTTTAAATGCGTGGCGAAGAAAACAAGTGTAATCTATCTGGCTATTATGAACATTATCGGAACGGAAGTAATTTTTAATGCGTGACGAAGAAAATGAGTGTAATCTATATGGCTGTTAATAGTACGAAGTACGAAAAATACAGAACGAAGCGGTTAAGTTCATAATTTAGCCGACAACTTGTTTATCCTACGTATAAACATCCAACGGTCCAATTTATTATTTTCTTTATATCATTTTAATTTTAGATATTATATTTCTTAATATATGTTACTATATGTTATATTATATTATCATTTTTATTTAATTATATTATATTATTTACAATTATTTTATTTTATTATATTATATTATCATACTATATGTTTTTATCATATTATCATTTTTAGGTTTAGGTCATTTATTTATTCATCTTGTTTATCGTACCTTTAAAAATCCAACGGTCCAAAGGTAATATCCAACGGTCCAATTTACCACAGTATATGTCATTAATACAAAAGTTGACACGCGCGTGATGGCCGTTTGAATGCGACGCGTTCGGGAGGGGGGGGGGAGGGAACATATTGAGCCCTGGGATATCAAAACTAAGAGGGCTAGGGGCATCTGACTCACAGGGCACGCAGGGCTCTGTGCGAAAACATTGATGTAGAATTTTGAAATACACAGATCGTGACCTTCGAGTCAAAAACGTCAAACAAGTGCAATTACAAATCGGTGTCCGATGTGCGCTCAAATTTCCTCACGCAACCAGCCTTAACTTAGATACCTAGAATGAACAAAACTTCACTGCTGTTCATATCAGCTCAGTGACTTAATTTGATCTTTAAAAGGAAAACAAATCACCACAAACCTTTGAGATTATTTTGATAGTTGAATTTCCAGTCAGCACAAACAACCAACTAGGCGACATGCTTCTCAAAGAAAAAGGCCGATCGAGGTCATTTTAAGTCAATCACCAAAGCAAGCAAGCAGGACGTTGATCGAGGTCATTTCAAGGTGTGCTGTCCGCCATGAAGACAAAAAAAGCTCACCGTGATCCGAATTTCAATGGTTTTATTGACTAAAAAGCCATCTCAAAGTTGCATCATTTTCTCTAACACTCCCGTTGTCGCATCAAACGGGACGATTCCCTTCGGATTGCCTACGCTGACAGCCATGGCCACACTTTGATACGCCATAGATCAGCGGGCCCGGGGACTGAAGCCGACTGACTGCGTCACCCCTGATCCACGACCGATGGAAAGGACGTCCAAATGGTGGCTAATCTGGATTTCGTGCTGCACGCGTGCAGATTGTATCCCGCATCTGGACACCAGCTGAGTACGTCACGTGCGAACCACGTCGCCACGGACTCGCAAGTCTGGTGTCTGGCCGCCACTGCTGTGTATGATCATGTCTGGCCGCCGACGCTGTGTATGACAGTGTCTGGTCGCTGCCGCTGTGTGATAGTGTTTGGCCGTCACCGCTGTGCATGATTGTGTCTTGCCACTGCCGCTGTGTATGACAGTGTCTGGTCGCTACCGCTGTGTGATAGTGTCTGACCGCGGCTACGGTGTATGGCAGTGTCTGGCCGCCGCTGTGTATGATGGTGTCTGGTGGCTGCCGCTGTGTATGACAGTGTCTGGTCGCTGCCGCTGTGTGATAGTGTCTGGCCGTCACCGCTGTGTATGATAGTGTCTTGTCACCGCCGCTGTGTATGACAGTGTCTGGTCGCTGCCGCTTTGTGATAGTGTCTGGCCGTCACCGCTGTGTATGATAGTGTCTTGTCACCGCCGCTGTGTATGACAGTGTCTGATCGCTGACGCTGTGTGATAGTGTCTGGCCGTCACCGCTGTGTATGATAGTGTCTGGTCACCGCCGCTGTGTATGATAGTGTCTGGCCGCCGCTGCGGTGTATGATAGTGTCAAGCTGCCACTGTGTATTGAGCCTAGAAAGTCTCAAATATACGAAGGTGTTTTACGGAAAAGTAACTCACTGGACTTAAATCATGTGTGAATCTCAAAACATGCTTCCTTTGACTGCAACGCTCCTGACAAAAAATTACTGCAATGAAAGTATTACTGACGCAACTCACCTCCTAAAGGTTCAATGATAAGGTCAAAACTATGTGTAACTATGAGGGTTTATGGAGAAGGTCCTGGCAAAAACAAGGATATCAAAAGCATCATGTAAGCATGTCGTTACTCTCCATGGATTCTACTTACGAACTTGCAAGCGCTTTAGGCGTTTGACCGTTTGTCCATCGATGGAAAAGGAGAGTGGCTGCCACGCCTCAAGGGTCAGACGTTCCGCGGCGGCTCTGAGGTCACTGAAGCACGGGAACCGACAGCGCCGTCCAATATTTTTTTACAAAAAATGTTATTTGAACCTTAAGAATAGAAATATTTCTGGGATCAGAGCTCGCGCTAAGCAGTGCTTGTTGCGTGAGCCCTGGCTCCTTCCATCCGATGGTGCAATTCCAGCTCAAGGGCAGAAATTGGTGACGAAAGATTAATGTGCTGCAATGCTCGTCACGGTCCATCCTGCCTTCTGGCGTCACCTGACGTTTAGCACAGCCGCTGCCACCGGCCGTAGATCACATCTGTAAAGGATAAGCGGGCGCCTAAGACGACCCGAATCCCATCCGCCACGAATGGGTGAATCGGATGGTAGGCGCTCTATTCAACCGAGCCAACGGCATGGACAGAACTTTGCGCAGATGGCGGTACATTCGCTGGGACCGCTTGGGGAAGAAACTGGGTGCCATGACATATGCAATCTATCATATGACATATTATATATATATATATATATATATATATATATATCAGATGGCACACTACACCTATCATGACACCAAGTTCCATAACACCAAGACCCTATGTTATCTTAAGAAGATCAAGCTGACGAAAATTAATCGAGCTTGTTTTGAATTTTCATTTCAAAATCAGCGATAAAACTACACTAGGCGACATGACGATTTTCAACACAAAAGATTGTCCGAGACGTTTTAGGTGTGACCTTCCCAGATCTTCACGAAGTCAGAATAGTCAAAATAAGAGGTCTTTTGATGTCCATGTAGGTAGAAACGAGCGTCAAAAGCTACCACAAGCATTAAGTTTTCCAATAGAAAGCTATTTGGTTTTCATTTACCTAGTCAAGGTCAATGCCAATTGACTTACTCAAGGTCAGTGGAGCTCTCATCCCGATTTTAATTGCGTCATTAACTGGGAAACCCACCCAAAGTCTTAAGACTGTGCCTTAAACTGCGCTGGCACATCAGCATGAAATAATCCCTCAGAATTACCTTCGCTGACAACCGTGGTCTGGCTGTGACCCGTTACAGGTCAGCGACCTTAAGAAGTAGATGTAGCGCATGTCGAGTGGTGAGACATTGTTTGATACCTGAGACATCAGGCTGTCCCTTGGCTTTGGTTCCGTGACTGTTACTGAAGTGGGGAGGGGGGGGGGGACAAACTGCAAGGAGTTGCCTACCACGTCAACGCCAATCGCGTTGAAAATACCCTCCGCTCCTCCAGGGTAAGGGATCGAATTGATGCCACCCCGTCAGCTTTTCAGATAGAAAATTTCGTTGCCTTTATTTTAGCTTCTCCCACTATTGGGAACAGACGAAGGAAACATTTGGGCTTCGGTGACATTTGCCATCTTCAGACCAACTGACGATCAAAGGGTCAGTTTCACTGTTGATCCTTCGTGCAGGCACAACAAATACATCCTTTCAGACACATTTCAACGTTTCAAGAAATGACAAGTTCTAATATATGTGTGGCAAAGCAAAACCTCCTGAGCCACATTCAGTACAAAATGTCGTTTGGAGCAGATGCAAAGGTGGAAGAACATGGATGGAAAATCGCAGTTCTCGATGTTCATTACCACCTTATTTCGAGCGTGCCCGTATGGAATGGCTCACACACCACCACTAGCCAGCCCGAAAGGCGGTGCAGCATCCGCCGCTGTCAGACCTTCATGGTTGGTTGCTGTCGTGGTGCTGGGTGCCGCGCTGCTGCAGCGGCGCTGGGCGACACGGCTGCTCACCGCAGGACTGGGGCCAACGTGACTACCGCCTCTCAGGCGACCGGCCGACCGACCCAGCCCCTGCTGCCGGCGGCGTAGTATGGCCGGTTCTGGCCGACCGCCAGGCGCCGCACGACTGCGTGACGCAGCGACAGGCACGTGCGCCAATCACGACTCACCACCCGCCTGTTCCGGTGCCGGTGCCCTGCTGTTGGTTTTGCTGATGCAACTACATAGAGTTCTAGGTTGTGTAAAATGGAGTGGCGCGCGTGAGGTGTGGCCGCGGAGTTTTGAAACTCCTTCGCTCTGAAGCTGCCACAGCAAATGCCTTCCTCCCACAAGTTCAGACTGGTACGCGCTACATTTGAGAGCAATGTCGCACATACCGCCCTCCCGACGTCGCCTTCTTTGCTTTTTAGGGCATCGCAACTGGCCATTGCCAGGCCCTCATCAAAGTTCGTATCGAGCAGGTAGCTACCGTATCCAAATTTAACAGAATTTCGTGGTGCCGTTCATGGCAAAGGAATATACAGTAGCAAATTGGGGGCCTGGTCCAAAACTGACGCTTCGTTGACCAGGTAGTCAGCAGTTTCGTTTCTATCACTGGAACTGGCATCACCCAGTCCCCAGTGCAGAGTCAGTCTATGAATTTGTTATACAATGTCTCTGTATTTCAGCGGACTAAATGAGGAACTAGCGAAAAGGCGAGTCTGCAGCAGCTGCTGACCTGATTTTGGATCCGCGAGAAGGTACGTCTCGTGGACGCGCTCGAGGCCGGTAGACTGTACACAACCTCCACCGCTGAGGTAGACTGTACACAACCTCCACCGCTTCTAAATAACGATCAGCTTGGCACGCGACCCCCCCCCCCCCAAAGTTTTTGGGGATACCTCTTCTGCATGTCGTGCAATGGCGTGCAAACTTTCGGTATCATCTGCGAACGAAAAACGCGTGTTTTCAAAGGTCGCTAGCAATTCTGCTTTGTGAGTAGCTACTGTCTTTAAGCAATCATGCACGGCGATCCACGACTGGCGCGGGCGATGGGCGACAGCCGACGATGCCACGGAACGCGCCCGGCGTGCCAACATCACTACTTTAACGGATCCCTATTTTATGAATGTGTGGAAGCACGACTGCTTAAATTCCGTGTCGCCATGTGGCATGATGTCATACATAGCACATGTAAAGCTCAAAAAGTTCGATTTCCAGGGAATGTTTACCATTGACCTGATCTAAAAAGTTCAATTATTGCCCTAGTAGCATGCAACGAAAAGCGTTTCATATCTCTGCTAGTCCTGTTTTCTTCCGTCATCTCCAAAAAATCATAATCCAGCGTCAAGGCCAAACAACACGCGGCACCCTAGCATTGATTCCTTCACAAAATGCGGCAAAAGAGAACCCAAAGTGATATTCGTGATGTCCGATTTCGTTGCACCCGTAACAATGACTTCTCGAGGTCAGAGGTCAAGGTCACATACAACGTTATGTCATGCCATTCGTTTGTTGACCAAACAAATGAAATGAAATAGGTATAAAAGTGAAGCCCGTGGTGTTTACTTTTATACACAAAAATGAAGGTCAGTGGTTAAGGTCACATAAAAGACGGCAACTTAGCATTTTTTCAATAAATCAAGAAATGTAATAAAGTGCGCATCATATCGATGGTCAGGATGTCCAGTTTCGTCCCATTTTGAAAACTCACTCTCTGCGTCAAAGGTCAATGTCACAAAACGCGGCACCTTGGCATTTATTCGTTTGCTTAAAAGGTATCACAACAAGGGTATGCTGTCATTGTCCAGGGTGTCCACTTGCGTCACACTTGAAGAAATAACTCGGAAAGTCAAAGGTGAAGGCCACAGAACACATGGTGTCCTGGAAATTATTCTTTAAAAAATTAATACCACAATCAGGATATCATATCGACGCTCAAAACGTTCGTTTTCGTCGCAAATGGAAAAACGAAATTGCAAGGTCATGATTCAAGGATCAAGGATGATTGACATGATTCAAGGATTCAAATTTCAAGGGTCATGGTTTCAAAAAACGCGGTACCATGGCTGTTAGCGAGCAAACGGGCCGTCGCAGCCGGCGCGCCGGCGGCGTCTCCGCGATGGTGTGAACGGCCCCTCTGCCGATTGGTCCCCACCATTTGGAGTCCATATGTGGACCACGCGGGTTTATGGGGACACGCGGGCGGGAACGCACGGTCCCTGCCGAGCAGTCCACGTTCAGGCTCCGACGGCGCGGCTCGACGCGAGCAGCGTCAGCGTTTACGACGACGACGACGACGACCTCGGAGTGTGCGACGCCGCCCTTCCAACCCCTCTCTTACATTTGCCTTGCAACTCTTTGGCTAATAGAGACTCTTCCCTTTCAACGTCTCAAGTCGATGGTCCTCCGGAATACTAACGAACTCTTTCGCACGAACAATGGCATTTATTCATTTACTTAAAAGATACCGCGGAAGGTGTCATATAAATGCGCAGGATGTGCGCTTTCGTCAAAATTGTGAAAACCTCCTCCATCAGACAAAATTCCACAGCGGGTAAGCGTTTTGAATCATTGGGGAGGCATCTGCTTCCACGATTTAGATGTCATCGTACGACCTGGGCACAGGGTGGTCGGGGTTTTGAATTTAAGTCAATGGCACATGGTGGGCCAGAGTTTTTATATGCCTGAATTTCGCCAACTTGTTTTCAAGAAGGTGGTTTTTAACGCCGCATTTCAGGCAGAACTCAATTTGGAGGCTTTAAATGCTACCTGCCAAGCACAGTGTGAGAAAAGCCTTGAAACCGGAGTTTCTCCTGAAAAACGAGTCACAGAATGAAGGCTCTTTTTCAGGATTTTACTTATCTGAGCCGTACTCCCATCTGCCGTTGACAGCCACTTCTCTGGGTCGGCTGTCCCCCGCATGCCTGACTGTGAACTGATCATATTATTGCTTTTCTGCACGTTTATCAGCATCACTACTAATTGGCGCGTAACTAATTGGCGCGTAAAACAAATTGGACACCTATTACGATACGCAATTGGTAAATTACCTTTCCTTACACCTCATCACAGCAGAAAATAATTAGAATTAAATAACTAAGTCATAAATTTAACTTAGATTTATTATCATTAAGGGAAAGCATAATAATAATAATAATACAGCTAATTTCGCGCGACCGGGTTGGCACATATCGTGACACATACAGGTATACAAACACACACACACACACACACACACACACACACACACACACACACACACACACACACACACACACACACACACACACACACACACACACACACACACACACACATACACACACACGCAAGCAAAGCGCAAGATAGCAGGTAAAGCACTCAGTGCTTACTTGACAGGTCAGAGGACCTTCCAGGGAGTGACCAAATTCACGGATTTGGTGGCGATCACGGACAAACTAACCCAGGTGGGTGATAAAGATGATCCGAACATTTGGCCTGCTGACTGCCTGGAAGTCCAAGGCAATGAGATCATGCTCATATCGGATATGCACATGTGTCCTGGCAACGATGCCAGTAGCCCCCGCCTCGCTTGCATGCAATGCCTTAACAATGCTGTTTTCACCGGACACGAGTATTTGGTTGAACATCAGCTGCCGACTAGCCACTAGCATGGAGCGGAGAAGGTCAAGCTCTTTATACAGGCCATGGCTCCTTGCCCAGCGTGGCACCTTCACTATCTTCTTTATACATGAGTGGTAGGCCACACAAAACTCTTGAAATGTTTTCTTTCCACTCACAGTGGTTCGCAGTTCACAACCATAAGTGTTGGTACAATATGCTTAATAAAGCTGTTTTGAACAGTTGAATCAAAACGTCCCTGTTTGCAAAGCCGACTGCAAGGAACGCTTCACCCTTAATTTCACTTCACTTCACAAGTGTTGGTACAATTTGCTTAATAAAGCTGTTTTGAACAGTTGAATCAAAACGTCCCTGTTTGCAAAGCCGACTGCGAGGAACGCTTCACTCTACAGATATCCTGGCTGTCACTGAGATTACTGGCCAGTACATGTCCTAGATATTTAAACTCCTCCACCCATACAAACCTGTAGTCATAAAGAATGACATTTGGGAATTTGGAGTAATACAAATATGACACCGCACATGGCCCTTAAGGATTGAAAAGCATGCATAGTTGTTTACATTGAACCAAGGCCACGTAGTATTGAACTGAATATCCCTGGTCACGGAAAATGCATCACACCTCCGAACCAACACTTCAAACCGTCCCCCTGTGGGAGACGAAAGCACAATACCATCAGGATAGGCCAGTACATGTTCCCACCCACTGAACAACACCGACTCGGCCACTGAAAGGTCAACACCGACTCGGCCACTGATAGGTCAATACTGATGTTATACTCAGCGTATCAGGTCTGTCCTGAAATGCACTATGCTTCTTACAACATTTCATAAAATGCCCAAAAATGATACATCGGTCGGGCAGATAACATAACAATGTTGCCCACGGAAAACACTAGCGAGCTCGTGGCATTTCAAGAAATGCCCACAGCTTTCAACTAGATAGAAAATGAAGGCGGGGAGGAGTCGGCTGAGGTGCATGTCCTACTGAGGTGCATGAGGGCATAAAAGCAACTCCCAGGGCCCGTGGCATATATGTAATACTGTGGCATGTAAGTAGCCTCCAGGGTTAGCTCCGCTAGCCGCCGACGATACCGCCGGCGACCGCACCCGCCCTGCTCCGCTCTGCTCGTCTGATCCCGGCCCCGGCAACCCGAGCAGACACCGGTCACGTGACCACGGGCCAATCACTGCGCACCAGGCACCAGGGTGATCCGAGCCTGGACCAGCCCGGCCCCAGCCGAACCTCCCTTTCATCATCCCTTTCCGATAAACGCATTTTAGACCCATGATGATCTTTCAGAAAGTTAGGGGCTCAGACCCCTTACTCCTTGGTTCTCGCACCCCGCCTGTAGCATCTTTTGTTATAATGAATTACCAGCTTATCCACACATTTTGTAACAAAGCAGGTGAGAGTTATTGAACCTGGCGGTGGCGTATCCGGGCTTCAGAATTTACAGGCGAATTTACTAGCTAGGTGGTGGAGTGGGGGGTGGGACTAAAGCGTTAAAATTGATATAACACACCACAATCCTGATTCCTCCCCGGATTTCAGCCAACTTAATTTTCGTCTAAGATGCCAAAATCTGAAATAAGAAATTTAGTCTATCCCAAAATCTGTCTTGATTTTTATGATTCATTTCCACTCGAAGCCGATGTGAAGCTGCATTCTTAGCAACTTAAGCAACTCAAAATGCGGTGCATTTCAGACTAAAATCCTAGTTCCCCAGATAACCGTAAAAATAACAGATAAGAGTAAAAATGTAAGGAAAATGGTGGCCTTGGCTCAGGCCAAAGGTCACCAAAGATGTTATAGACCGAAAAACTTAGTTTGCAGATACCCACATGCTCAAAACCTATGGCACAGATAACCGCAAAACCTTCCACAGTCGATCGCCATAGTACATATTTTAAGCTGTCCAGAACATGGTGACCTTGGGTCAAGTCAAAGGCCATCAAAAACGCCCCAAATCACCAAAATTAGCCACAGATAGCCCCATACTCTGCGCCTATGAGACCGACCAGCACATCTTTATGAACCAGTGCTTCTTAGCCGCTTAACTGCCCTCTCCAGAACATTGTGACCCTGAGCCGAGTACGAGGTCACCAAAATATCCAAAGCCGCCAAAACTGGCTTCAGACAGCCTCATGCTCCGAGCCTATGAGACTCATGGAAACAAAAATATTCACCAATCGATGAGCCATGATGATAACTTATTCTTCCCAGAAAATGTTTACCTTGGCTCAGGTAAAAAGTCGCCAAAAAACGCACAATTTACGCGCATTTACATACGCACAATATACGAACTGTTCGGAGTGTGTAGATACTGTCAATGGGGCTGGAACTCGCTCGCAAAAATTAGCCCCCCATCGCAAATCAAGGTAGCCCCGCTGTCGCAAATTTTGACAGCGCCCCTAGTTAACACGCGACTGATCTGTAGATAATGCTAACATCAAAAGCATTTTCGACAGGCTATGCTTGGTTTGCCGACATTATTAGTTGAATGATTTCAGTAAACTTTGCTGATTATTCAAGTTTTTGTTCATCAACTGGTTGTAGACGTTTGTGCCTGCGGTGATGCCGTGTGCTATTGTCATATGCAAGAAAATGCACAAACGTGAAGCGGAGGTTTTTTCTGGCATTCTCTACCATTGGTAAGATTGTCCTGAAAACAGACATGGTTCGGTGCGAGAGGAAGGCATCCAACATGCACGGGGCCTTGATATGCTCGGACCACTTGGAGTATAAAGCCTATCACCAAGCGTACTTTGTTAGGTCATGCTTGACACCTGCTGCCTGGCCGCGGCTGCAAGCTGGTGACTCCGTCAAGAACATCGCCAATCAACGGTTCCTTCATGCGATAACGTTCGCACTCAAGGTGTTCTGGTCTGGCTGTTCGGCCGGGACGTCGCTAGGTGTGACGTACTGACGTCGAGCTTGAACGTGACATCGAACACGAATGAAAACAATCCATTGATAACGGATGATAGAAATGCGATGCTTTGGGTTTAAATGCACCAGACCAGGGTCGCGCACGTGTGTGCTGAATGGTCTGTCTGCTGAATGTGTAGCCGTCATAGTGATTCGTGGGGTGTGTGCCTGCTGTACTCCCTCTGGTGGGGCCCTTGCCGAAGCTAAAGCCTGGTGTATCCTACAACGCAGCGGCATCACTTTCTAAATGCAGTTGAGGCTCAACCGATTATGTTGTCTTAATCTTTTTCCAAGACCTGATTAATTTCCGGACTTCACTTACTTACATTTGCGTATCTGATGTCTAGGATTCCTTGTAATCGCGTGGCATAAGATGGCTTTCCCTGAGGATATCTTCCTGTTAAAGGTTACGTGAAACTGCGGTTTTGTAAGCAGCTTTGAAGCGGGTGCGCTGCACAGAAAACATCTTAGTAAAACGGTAGGATGTGGCCACCGGGAAAAGCTCTCGTTTATCTTTCATCGAAGGTGGTCAGAGGCGCAAAAGACTGATGCAGAGTGGCGCGCCCTGACACGTGCAGACCGGAGAAGACTGCGCACATGGCACATTTTCTGTGGGGAGGCTTTGGAGAATGTGTCGCATGCACCGCCAGGATTTTGGAGAATGTGTCGCATGCACCGCCAGGACTTTGGAGAATGTGTCGCATGCACCGCCAGGACTTTGGAGAATGTGTCGCATGCACCGCCAGGATTTTGGAGAATGTGTCGCATGCACCGCCAGGAAGAATCTACGCCTTAATGTGAAGCCGAACTTGCACGACCTCAACAGACACGTCGATAACAAGGACACTGTTGGCAGAGGCTGGTGATCGGACGGGTCAACAGAATGACGGACTTAATGCAGGCACGATCAGCGCTTTGACCAAAGTTTAAAGTTGATATCGACAAGAAATGTCTTGCGCTTTGTCAAGAGATGCTTTCCGCTTTGCAAGAAATGTTTTGCGCTTCTTGTTTCGATATTGCAAGGTGGGAGCGGGCTTGAACTGATCAACCTTCAGCGCTCCACGAGGCACCAATGAAACCGCACAGTGGAGCAAGCAGTGCTTATGCTGATTCATCATGCAGCATAATGATTCAGCACGTCTCCGTGACTACTAAGAAAGCAATCATTGTGCCATAAACGCGCAGAACGGTGCGGTTTCTGATCCCGCCGAGTCGCGTGAACATGGTCGTGCCAGGTCTCTTGCAGAGAGAGAGAGCGAGAGAGAGAGCGAGAGCGAGAGCGAGAGCGAGAGCGAGAGCGAGAGCGAGAGCGAGAGCGAGAGCGAGAGCGAGAGCGAGAGAGAGAGAGAGAGAGAGAGAGAGAGAGAGAGAGAGAGAGAGAGAAGAGAGAGAGAGAGAGAGAGAGAGAGAGAGAGAGAGAGAGAGAGAGAGAGAGAGAGAGAGAGAGAGAGAGAGAGAGAGAGAGAGAGAGAGCGGAAACTCATAATACTGTGCTAGGTCCACCACTTGTGCAACACGTTCTCTGTTTAAAATACGATCGTGCGCACATAATAGTTGCAGTCTCCGCCCCCCCCCCCGCGTGCCAAATATATGGCATGCATCAATATGTACTCGACTTCATGTAAACAGTGACGGCTCCATATAACCATGGAAAAATAAGATCGAGAGCATGACATGCTGTTTTACAATATGCTAGGCATTGCGCGCCAGCGGAGCACTTAACTCAGTTTTCATTTCTGAGTTGTGCCGCCGCTATGGCCAAATGCTGCGTACGCCACTGTCTACCAATACATCAGGTTCGCGATGAAGTCGATGAAAGGTGAAAAAAACAACTTTGGAACAAAAAAGAAACATGTGAAACTCCCGTTCATATAAAGTAAACTGTGCAAATAGCTGAATGTCACCACATCGTCGAGTGGTTTGCGCGGCCTCATGGGTAGCATGGACTGGTGGCCCCGTTTTGAAGTTCATGCCAGTTCTGATCACTTTTCGTGGCCCTAGGGTATCCAGCTGGGATTTGGGTTCGCCAAGCATGTGTCAATAGGCAGCTCGTAGGCGGCCTGGACCAGCAGGACGCGCACGTGCTGGCTCGCGCGCTGATGGAGCAGGTGCACCTGAAGGAGCCGTGGCTGCATCAGAAGCAGATGGTGCGGGCGTTGAGCCTGCCGACCAAAACAGACCCGAAAACGGTGGACACTGGCATGCACGCGCGTGTCTGGAGGCGCTCGACACCAACCTTTGCACCCCGCGATCGACTCCATCTTCAGCTGACAGACAGCCAGCCTCGCGGAGTGCCGGGCCTGAATGACCCGAACGCACCCATTCGACCCGCGATCGACTGCATCTTCAGCTGACAGACGGCCAGCCTCGCGGAGTGCCGGGCCTGAACGACCCGAACGCACCCATTCGACCCGCGATCGACTGCATCTTCAGCTGACAGACGGCCAGCCTCGCGGAGTGCCGGGCCTGAACGACCCAAACGCACCCGTTCGACCCGCGATCGACTCCATCTTCAGCTGACAGACGGCCAGCCTCGCGGAGTGCCGGGCCTGAATGACCCGAACGCACCCGTTCGAGCAATGTTCCGGCCTCTCTTCGCTGTAATTAGCGCGTGTCTAACGGCCTGTATCAAATTGTCACTTGTAAGTTGCACTTTAACCCGTTATTGTGGTAAATCTCAGTGAAAATAACTGCGAGTAGGATCAACTGAATGCGTGCGCTACACCGGGCACGGTTATATTTCCGTAGCGCTGTGGTAGTATCTATTTTGCTATGAATCCTATCATGCACTTTTCAAAGGCGCCCTCTTTGATCCAATATAACGTTTTTAATCCATTTGAAATTTTTGAAAGGACGACCGACGATCACGTACTTTTTAACTTGGGAACGCCCAATAGGATTATGCTCTGTTCAGGATCTGTTTTGTATGTTTGTTCGTGTGTGATGAAAATGCTCTGCCAGTGCAATACAGTATGTAGTAAATATGCAATATGTAGTATAATCTGGTACGTAACATGTAGTACCGGATTTACGTATCCTTGGTCCTAATACAGTGAAGGGCAGAAGGGCATTATCATCTGTTGCTGACAACGTAAAGACGACAGCTGGGACAATCCTGCACTGTATTTACAGGTTAATATGGTCACAATTCTGCAGTAGGTACAAAAATCATCCCATATAACCTTGGCGTGCATGCAACCACACGAGAACTTTGCATGCCCAACTTCGGCCGTGGATGTGCAGAAAACGTGTGCAAGTACGTAGTCAATGGCGAAATGTTACAGTTGGAGTATGTTCACGCAATACAATGGGATGCATCATTCAATCACATTCATTTGTGGCGCTCGCAATTCCCGCATATCGCGTCCAGTGGACGCTCAGCATTAATTAATCACATCCACCAGGTGTTCTCAGCAATGCACGTATACGATCCACCCTCCCAAGGAGCATCACGATTAACAGCAGGACAACCTCACACGTCGCGGACAGAACAGCTGTTCGAACAGCCGTCCTGGACTGGTGTGTCAGTGTGCACACAGCGCTTCGGCCGGCTAACACTCCAGCCGTCGCCCAATGATATGGAGTCCCGGAAATAATTTGGACGTTGTTGGACTGAAGCCAGAGCTTTAATTGCTGGAATTAGAACCAGGATTCGAACTTTTAAGTTGTCAACCAATCAGAACTTGGACCTGAAGGCCCTGTCGAATCCCAGCACTTCCGGGGCATTCGGGTCGTGACGCATGCATGGCGGGAATCTACGCATCATCCAGTCCTTCCCGGGGGTCACCTGACACCTGACAACGGCCGGAGAGTTCACTGGATGAAACGTCGTGTGCATACCAACACACCCTAGGCCAGGACGGAAGTCCGCGCAATGATTCCATCCGTGCAACTAACACCCCGTTTCAATCGCCACATGTGGTAATTAAACGTTATACACTGCGCAGAAAAACTCGAATTCAGATTCGCCAGCTCCTCTACACGAAATCACCAACAGCGCAATATAAAACAAGAAGTCGAGCCAATAAACCGACTCAACACCCCACCCCTCCCCTTCCACACGGGGCCCTCACTCTGCCCCACACTTAGCATATGTTTGCATAGCGATGTGACGGGCCGCCGACGACTCCGGGGAAGTCGGCGGCTGTGATATGGGGCTGGAATGACACGACACAGCAACAACGACATCACAGACATTCACTCGATATCTCGCTGCGAGTGGAGAGCCGACACCATCAACGGCACGCGCAGTCACCAATCCACGCCAATTATATATATATATATATATATATATATATATATATATATACCCTTAAGCATATATGTTCGATAACATTTCACTTCGGTAACCTTTGGTGCCACGTAAACCTAGAGAAAATAAAAGTTACGAAAGGAGTCCTGAAATGCGCCGAAACATTGGCATCTTGAGCCCTCCTGGCGCACTACGCACCCGTCGTTGGTCACTGAACAGACATGGCGTAATGCAGAGCACACACACCGCGTTCACCGCGAAAGACGTGTGAGCTTTGTCCGCGCGAAAGACTAGGACATATTCTGTGATGTGACCATTTGGGAAGCTGACCGTGAGATATGTTAGCAATAGTTAGTCAACTGGCTAACAAAGAGAGCATAGGATCGCCAAAGCTGGAAAGATCCTCCGGTAACCATTGCAAGCCAACTTTTAAAAGGTAAAACTCACCGCATCCACCCGAAGGAAACTTTGCGGTGATTTTGTGCATCAGTCTCTTACTACGAGACAAGTGTAGAAAATAACTCGCAAAAATAATATACACATGGTAAAATAAATCAACCAATGCAAGCAGGGAAGCGCACGCGTCGTGCCTCCCACCCATCGGCTCGTATGACGCCCATTCCCTGCACAAGCCCCTAAAATGACATAATGTGTGTGACGACGGGGACCAAAAAGCTCCACGTCGTGGGTAAACAAAGAACACGACCCGGCCCGTGTTCATAGCACGCAAGCGCGCTGCACAACTCCCCGGTGCTACAACCGGGGCACGAGCACCGCAGCACAACTCACCGGTGCTACAACCAGGGCACGAGCACCGCAGCACAACTCACCGGTGCTACAACCGGAGCACGAGCACCGCTCGAGGCCGCGCATCCGCGCGGAAGTCCGGACCACCCAGCAGCCGCTCACCGTGCGTCTTTCACACGAGCCTCAGCACAGCACTTGCCCTCGCCACCGGTGGACAGCCGAGCAAGGGTACGTCTCACAGGCCGGGCACGCACCGGGGACGCGCCGGCGGCCCCGATCGTGCCGACCCACGGCGCGTTCGCACCCGTTCGACTGCCCGTCCGCAGACACTACGACCCCGCGGACTCGTTGTCCTCATCACTGTCCATGATCTTCGACTTGGACTTGCGCAGCGTGCCGTCCATCTGCGTGTAGTGCGGCTTTGGCGCGTTGGTGGCGCGCACGTGGTCCAGCCGGTCGTACTCGGTCTCTGCGGGGCGTAGGGCGTCTCTGAGTTCCTACATGCACATCCGACGGACGAAGAGCTGGACACGGGCACTCTCGAGTGGCGTTAGGCCGCTTCAAACGAAGCCCGCCGCAGAAAACCTGGCTCGGCTGCTTACCATTACTATGTGCAATGTGCTGCGCTGAATCGCTGATGCTTTCTCCCTCACATGCTGCAGCCTGACCGCATGCCCATGCGCTGCGACAACAACGGACCTTTACAAGAACTGTAAACTCCGCTTAGCTCGCATCCTAGAGCAATTTACAGGTAGCGCCGACAACGAAGCCTCTCCCTGACCTGCCAGAAATCAGATTATCATCTGGAAGGGTGCCAACACAAGAACTGGTTTCGTGCCGTGAACCGGCGCCGGTTTCGCCGCACAACCGCGCCTTCCTGCGCCAGCTGGCGCGTGTGGTGAGGGGCCAGCCCGAGCAGCAGGGCTGGGGGAGGGAGTCGGTTCGGCGATCGGGTCAGCCTCACTACCTGGACGGCGGCCGGACTCCTGCTGGAAGCTCCACTGCACGTCGAACGGGGAAACAGCACGGCCGGGCGCTGTCAGCAGCGGGCTTTCCGCGCCACCTGCCGTCACAGAGACAGGGCGCGCCGCCGCTGGTCACTCCGCCGGCGCGCCACGCGGGCCAAATGACCCCGCCGGCCCCGGGAAGCGGACGGGAGAGGACGGCGACAGGGTCGACCGCACGGGCCGGCGCAAGGCCAATCAGCCAGGGCCAGGGCTTCTTGACGGCCAGTGCGACCAAAGTAAAAAAATAGTGTAGCTTGTGGAGATGAAAATGCCCGTCAGATGGCTCAACGAATGTCATATGCCTCGCATTTCATGCCAGCAGACTCCATTTCGAATCACGACCCAGTAACTCGGCATTCTAATCATCAGAACCGCACTTCTGCATTAATCTTCGCTGGGATCAGTAGGAAGATACAATAACAACATTGCACAAACTAACTTTAGTTACGAATAAATAAAACCCAGGTATTCAGCTACCTTTCATAAAATACGGAACTCACATCAAGGTAAGGGCGGCTGATTTCCAAATTTGAAAGCCTTGAACCTGGTAATAGTAAACTCTACATAAAAATATTGCACAAGATATAGATAAATTTGGTGCCACGAAGCAAAGCAGTATGTAAGCATATCTGAGAAGCTAAGGAAGCATTCGGAGGTCAAATAGAGGCGTAAACGAAAAGAAAGGCAACCTTCGGAAGCCACACCCGAGCATGGCCATCCCCTTTCCGCGGCATAACTGGTTATTTCGAGGACTTCATTCGGTGTTAACACGTTTCTCCCAGCCATTAACATGCGAGACCAGTCTGTGTGCCAGCCGTTTGAAGGCTCGGGGTCGCAGGGAGCAAAAAACACCGACCGCCGATGCGTCTGATCAGGCTCATTTCCGAACGCGAAGGGACAACAAACGTCAGCCACGCCTTAACCCGGATGGCCTTGAAAGGTCTAGTCCATACGTTTTGATTGGATGGATTTCTGGGATCAGCGCCCTTACTACGCAGCGGTTGATGCGTGAAACTGGTACCCCACCATCCGATCAGAGATTCCAGGTCGACGGCAGGATTTGGCGGCGAAAACTTGGCGTGCCGCAACGCTCCGCACGGTTCATCGCGCCGCCTGACATCAGCTAACCCTTAGCGCGGCCGCTGCCACCTACCACCAGCCGCACATCGTCAGTCAGGGGCGAATGGCGAGCGTCTTCAGCGACTCGACCCCCTCCCCCCCCCGCCCGCCCTGGGAATAGGTGAATCAAAGGGCCCCTTTACTGCGGTGTACTGGGAGGGGGAGGGTCCAGATCCTACAGTCAGGACATAATAAATGGAGTGCACCGATAACAGCTGATGTAGCCGGCGTACCGCACGCTACAGAAACATTTTAAGTGCATCTATTAAAGCATGATGCAGATAATATACTCAGCTTCCAGTTTTGGTCCAATTCTAGTCCATTTGGAATGAAAACGCAAAATTGGAACTATCGATTGGCGCCTGCCTGTCCTTTCTTACAGGCTGTCAGTGCTAATCAATCACTAAACGTAGCCTTTGGATCTCAGCCACGCTCGGGTTCATAATCATTCCGCAAGGTTGCAGATAACCGAGGCATGTTTGACATCCGTTTTTGCCCCTCGGTCAGATAATGAAGGTCAGAGGTGTCGGCTAGCGCCAGAGGCGCTGGGGTCAATGGTGACTGAGACACCAGTCTTGTCCGTCGCTGAGCGGTGGTGGACGAATCAGTCATGACTGTCGGTCAATGATGACGGAGACGCCAGTCTTGTCCGTCAGTCAGTGGTGACGGAGACACCAGTCTTGACCGTCGGTCAGTGGTGGCGGAGACACCAGTCTTGACCGTCGGTCAGTGGTGACGGAGACACCAGTCTTGACCGTCGGCCAGTGGTGGCGGATACATTAGTTTTCTCCATCGGTCAGTGGTGACGGAGATACCAGTCTTGACCGTCGGTCAGTGGTGACGGAGACACCAGTCTTGTCCGTCAGTTAGTGGTGACGGAGACACCAGTCTTGTCCGCCGGTCAGTGGTGACGGAGACACCAGTGTTGTCCATCTGTCAGTGGTGACGGAGATACCAGTCTTGTCTGTCGGTCAGTGGTGACGGAGACACCAGTCTTGTCTATACGTCAATGATGGTGGGTGCACCAGTCTTGTCTTTAATGCCAGCAGCCAGAGGGGTCGCATTGAACGACGAACGACAACCGGGCGCAATGGCTACGGCCTGAGGCGAAGGGCTGGGGTCGGCGGCGGTCCAGGGCAGGGCAGCAGACCACTTCACAGCGGTGGGGTTGGGTGGGTCAGCATGCACCACAGGCGTCATGCAAGCCCCACCACCGGTGGGGTCGCCGGTGCAAACATCAACCACAGCAGGCCCAGTGTAGTCGCAGCACTTCAGTGCAGAGTTAATGGATGCATTCGCCTCCACTTTTCCGCCGTTTAGTCCCCAAGCTAGCTAGGTCGGACATACCGGCTGGTGGCACGGTCGCAAGGGGAGCAGTGAGCCCAGCACATGCGCAGGCGTGCGAGCTCTGCACACCAGCCGTTGGCGACAACACCACGGCAGACTGACACGGCTACACAGGCGTCGAATACTCACCCTCCTCCAGCATCACCCTGGCGCCTTTGATTTCGTCGTACACGTGCTCCATTTTCTTGTTGTCGGCCTTCAGGTCCTCGATGCTGTTGTATATGTTTGGATTGCCGCTGTCTGCAGTTCTTCATCTTCTTCGACAGGAGGGTGGGGTCGTACCCAACGGCGCCTGCGACATCAGCCGGTTTTATTATGGGGGTGCCGCTGAGCCTCCAGCCACGTGGACCGACACTCAAACACTGCACCACCGGGAGGCCGGACTGGCACCGCTCTAGCAACTTCTTTTCCTCGTCCCTACGGCATAAGGACTAGTCTCGCTCTACGCTCTACGGATTGCGAGATTGTGACTACGAAGCTCGCAGTTGTCGTATGCTTTCGAGTCGGTCGTGCACAAATGACCATCACCAAGCACTCCCAGGTCCTCTAAAGACCGGCCAGCATCTGCGGACGGCCGGAGCACCGGCCGAAACTGTCGGCGAACCATAAATGTCGGCGCTGACGGGACAACGGTGCGAGAAAAAAAGAACATTCCATCCGAACTAACACCTCCGCCGTGGTCGCGAACCTGGCCGAGCCGTCCACGTGGCAGTAACATTTCTTTCAATTTTTGCGCCCTGAGAATCCTCCCGATCCAAGTGCCACAAAAATGAAAATTCAAGTCATACCTGAACTAATGCCCCACGTACTTCTTGCCAAAAATAAGCAATAGCCAAATAACCAGGCACTGGCTCTCCGTCGTTGGCTGTTGGCGCGATGCGTACAAGCTGCGCCGGAAAAAACCCGAGACGACAAACGTGCTCATAACGGCGAAGGAATCACGGCATTGGAGCAAACGCCCTATCATGAAATTCCACGCGGTACTTGAAGAGCACAAAAATAACGAATTAAAACGCGGTTGGATTATTCTTGTTAAATGTTTGGGCGTTAATGAGTGAATAAGGCGTTGACTACAACGAAGTTTCAGGTGGTAAGCGGTTTCGATACACCCAGAATCCTTTGGACGATTGAGTAGCAAGTAGATTGTGGCAAGAAACTTAGCGGCACTTACCGACTTACGCGAGCATCGAAGAACATCGGAATGCTTTGATACAATCAAGGTCATCGAAACCGTTACTGAAATAAATTCGAGCCTACTTATATGCAACGGTCAGGCGAATCTAAAGCGATTATCAAGGGCGAAACGTTATAACACACTTAATTTACCGGTCTCAAGTGGGCACAAGCGCAGCGAAAGCACGTGCTAGCCACGCGGAAGGAATAGCTAATGCAGGTAGGGGGGAGGAGATTAATCAGACGCAACGCATACACTAGAAAGAAACCGAATAAAAGGCTTTGGATCAACAACAATGCTTCAGATGGAAAGTTGTACCAACATCCTGAGGGAGACCTAAATGATGTGATGCTCTTGCGAATGATTGGGGTCTTTTGCCCCCGCCACCATGTTTTTCCCCGCAGACACCCAACCCAGTACAAATATTGAACAACCAGCCTGTTGCTACCGCATATCTCACCATAGCACATCAGGCCACCGCTCTATGCCTTACTCAGCAGTCAGGACGGCACGGACCAGGTGGCGGCAGCGGCCGTCTCCAGAGGCGACGCCGCCTCGCCTTCGGCCCCCATAGGCGCCCGTTAGCGGCCGCCCCGCACGCCGGCGCCACTCACCTTCCTCATCCTCGTCCAGGGCCAGCTGCTTGGCGGGCGTGGCGCCGCCCAGGTCGTTCTGCACCAGCGGCGGGATGTTGGGCGGCAGCGGCAGCGGGTCGGCGCGCGTCTTACCCCCCGGGTAGGCGTACACCGGGTTGTCGAAATGATGCGGGTCTGCGGGCCAGCGCCGGCCGTTAGCGGAGGTCCGTGGGTCGGTGGGTCGGTGGGTCGGTGGGTCGGAGACTTGGTCGGGGAGCCGGAGACTTGGAGTTGGAGGTCGGGGAGTTGACGGATCCTGGTGTGACGTTCATGCGACAGGATGGTCAAGCACGTCAACAGCTGACAGGCGCAGTGGAAGCCGGCCGGCGGAAGCTGTCTGAAGCTGAAGCTGAGGATCTATCTGGGCCAATTCGACGAACACCTTACATAACCCCACCCCTCGCCAAAATATCCCACCGTAATTAGTGGAACGGCCTTCAGCAGGAAGCCTCATAAGGCACCACCCACACACTTGACACCGGCTGCGGGACACAAAGCCGCCCTCCCAGTATGCGCGCTGGCCGGTCGTGACGCAGCCGGCAGCGGGACTCCTCCGAGGCAAGCGCCACATGCCGTCAGCCACCCACCTGTCGGGTCCTTGTTCTCCGGGAAGTACTGCACCACCTGGTGCAGCTCCTTCTTGAGCCGGTACAGTCGACGCCGGTAGTAGATGATGACTAGGATGACCACCAGCGCCACCAGGATGAGCACGCTCACGACGATGGCCGACACGCCGGCCGTGCCCGGCCCGCCGGCCGGGTCCGTCAGCAGGCTCGACGACCGGATCGGAATGTCGCACTCCTCACCTGTCGGGTACGAGCAGGGTCCGAGTTACGCCCCTGTCGCACGTGACACCTCCCCGCAGCCGGCGCGGACCAGCCGCGCAAGCCTCCTGAGCATGGCGCGGAGGCTGCCGCTGGCCCCCGCACCCTATCTCCACAGCACCGTCGGATCTCCCAGAAGGCCCGCGGCGCACCGCCACACCACACCGACTCTGAGACGCGTGCCGGGAGGCTCGCGGCCATCTCCACTTCGCTCGTGCCACTCCGCTCTCCACCTCGTCCGCCAGCGTGACCACCCGCACCGCCCGAGTCCTACTCACCGGTGTGGCCGAACCGACAGATGCAGCCCTGGACCGGGTGGCACATGAAGTTGTTGGACTTGCAGGTGCAGGTCTCCATGCACTGGATGCCGTAGTAGCCCTCCGGGCATATCTCCTGGCACCTCGCCCCTGTCCAGCCGGGAGGACACCTGCACCGCAGACCAGTGGGCGTTTCGATCACAGGCAGAACATCCGAGCCTCAGAGTCATGCGACAGCTTGCGTACTTGCTCAATGACCCATAAACACACTAGCTGACGGAAATCCTGATGTCAAAGAAATACGACAGCAGCATCGAAGACAGAGGCACGAGCTCGACTTTTGCAACGTATTGCTGCAGCGAAATCATTTCGACCCGGATTCAAGCAGACGTGGCTTAATTCCGAAACAAATCCAATGACGTCGATTGCAGTGATAGCAGTTCAGGTAATGATATGGAACATATAGAATGTGCAAACTATGCTGAATACTATGCCAAACTATGGAATATACAAACACCTGTACAACCCCTATCATGACGACTTGGTTATACAGCGTTGCATTTGCTACCCATGAAGTGCGGCACAATTACGAACATCTCTGTTTGCCTACATTGATATTTGAGTCAACCCATCAACAAACCCCAAAAATGCAGTAGAACATCCCCGACTCTGAATTACACAGGTATTGAAAGAAATCGGTTCCATCTTAAAACAAAAACCCAGCCGACTCCGGGGTCATCCCTGACTCTACCCGATGCTAAGCACAGGAACCTGGCACGGATAATACAGGCGGCTGGTGCAGCCCTCCAATGCGGGCACTGCACGGTTCTGGAGAAGGAGGTGGGGGGGGGGGGGGGGGCACCAGGAGGGACGGCGCGGCATCGGCAAGCGGAGGGGGACGGCACGGCGAACAGACGAAGTCCCTCTCACCTGCAGGCGCCGTCCAGCGGACGGCAGGTAGCGTTGTTGAGGCACTCGCACTTCTGGGCGCAGTTCATGCCGTACGTGTTGGGCAGACAGCGCTTACTGCAGCGCTCGCCGCGCCAGCCGGCGTAGCACCGGCACTCCCCTGTCGAAGTCCGGTGAACACGCTGAGTGCAGTGCGCCGCGCTGCGTGGCCGCGCGCACCACGCCCCACTGACCGACCGCCCGCCGGAGGCTGTGTGGCCGCGCGCGCCACGCCCCACTGACCGATCGCCCCTGCCGGAGACTACGTGGCCGCGCGCGTCACGCCCCGCCGACCGACGGCCCCACCATAGCTGAGCGCCTGAACCAGACCGCCGCTCGGTCGGCGGCGCCAGTCGGCGTGCACGCACCGGCTTGCGAAAGGCGGACGCTAACATTCCGCTGATCATTCCGCTAGCATTCCGCTGATCATTCCACTGACAGCGCTCGACGCCGATGGACGGCGCCCCGCTCTGTAAAGCTCGTCGTCTTAACCTGCTACAGCGGCAACGCGTCCACCAAGTCACCGGAGCACCGCCGGGACGCTTGCCACCACGCACGAAACTCGCACGCAACGCGCTTGATTCACGATGCAAACCACAGGCAACTCCGCGGCGTCTCGCGCCCATTCACGCCAGATGCCACTGCACTCGTCCCTCGGCACCCCGAGCCTCCGTTCCCTCCTCCAGCCCACCCAAACGCGCGCGCTGTGACCACGCTCACCGGTCACGGGGTCGCACTCGGCGTTCTGGTCGCAGTCGCAGCTCTTGAGGCACATGAGGCCGTACTTGCCGCGCGGGCAGGACTCGGAGCAGAGCTGGCCGGCGAAGCCCGGCGCGCACGGACACCGTCCCGTCACGGCGTCGCAGGTGCCGTCGCCTGCCGGTCACGGCCGCCCGCCGGTCAGAACGGCGGCGGGCAGGCAGGCCGCCCCGCCGCGCCCGCCACCTGGCGGCGGCACAGCGCGTGCCCGGCAGTAGCGGGACGTGGCGTCCCGGTAGGGGACACAGGGCTCTTGGTCTCGCCCGCTGGGCGGGTCCAGACAGCGGGCGTTCAACGGTGGCAGGGTAGTGTGGTGTTGAGCAAGCCAGCCGTAAAATAGAGCTTGCTACCCGAGCTAGCCCACATACATTGTTCAGGCAGTAGATCAGGCAGCAAAACGGACAAAACGAGGACGAAACCGAACTGTACCCGCCACACCGCACACACGATAAAACCCTTAGGAAAACACGGAGGATGGACGTGTGCACGATACGAGTAAAGCCGTCACTCACTATACTAGAACGTAAAATGCTGCAAGCAGTAAGTACCACACTGGGTTAGCACTCAACAAACAAGGCACACGAAACTCACGCGTTACCTTCTTGTATCTGAATTAGAGGTATCGATTGTATTTAATTTGTTATCTTCAAAAACTTCCGAAGTCCGATTTGGACACTGGACGGACGGGGCAACAATTTTTGATTTTGTTTTTTGAGAGCCAATGTCACTTCAGTCGTGTAGCAAATTGGTATGCATCTCAACTTACTCAATGCTGCTCGTCCTCACAATGATTGATTCTGGGTCATGAGCAAGCAGTTGATATAGCACATTAGAAAATACTACTGTTAGAGTCATAAGATAACACGTTTATTCAACAAATGGTATCAACGGAAGGGGTATCGGTGTTTATTTCTTCAGCAGAGCCAGTGATACATATTACTTTCTCATTCGTGGATGCATGCACTTGGCTAGCTTTAAGCTTGGAAATGAAATAAATCAAAATGAATTGTTAATCGTGGATATTTTCCCCGAAAGCTTGTGCTACACATTTCTTACCCACAATTACGTTATTCCTTTCATTTTGTTCGAGTGAGGGAACGCACCGACGGGAGTACTGACTGGGGTTCCTGATTGTAGGCGAGTTGTTTGATATGGATACAAATTGGAAGTTATTAGACCTGCTTCTTTGACACTTTGCACAAACAGCTGATTCGTCCTTAGACTTTGGACAAGAGCTTCCAGAAAACGGTACCTCTGATGTGAATATGTTCTCGGTCGTTACACAGCGTGTACAGATAGCCACATTCACCGCCGTTAAATGCTACCACACAGCGGAGGCAATCGTGCTTAGCAGCCTCTGTGATGGATGCAATGGACTTGCTCAAGATCGTCAGATTACGGAGATAGTAAGGCCTGCACCACACCACACCACGCCACACAGACAAACGAAGAGCACCGCTTGCACCACTGTGGAACAGCGCCTAAAGCTGCGTAGTCCGGAGTTAGCGGTCGGGCACCACACCGAGACTCCTCCACCGCCTTCTGGACCATTGGACCTGGCACGCATGCACATGGATAGCCCCGGGCCGGCTCTGAAAGTGTGACCCCAGTACGCGAGGTCTGCTCGGAATGGAGGCGGCGGGGACAGCGGGCAGCGTGTACAAGACATTGGGCTTACCTGTCACTGCAGCCACATGAAAAGAGAACAAAGACAACATGTTAAAGAATACCTATGAAGTGACCCGTAACATGTGCTAGTCGATGCATACATCGATTCATGGAGCTGTATCAGTCTTTTCCAGACAAAATTCACAATAGCTATGAGCTTATGCAGCAAAAACAAGGATCGCTTCCCACGGCCGTTCATGGTACTTGGTACCATGGTACATGGTTCATGGTACTCTAGAATAGCTACAGCAGGACTGCAGTAGAGCCAGATATCCACAAGCGCTTCTAATAAAGCATTTCAGACCATAAATCAAGAAGCGTCCCACCGCTCAATGACAAAGCAGTCCGTAGCACCCAGCCGCAGCTGCTGTGACTTCACAGTCAGCAACGGACTTGCCCATAGCAGCCCATAAACCGGCCGACAAACCAATCTCAATTCCGACGCACGTCCCTACAGAAACGCCAAACATCGCACACCATGTCAGACGACGTCTGCACACACTGTACAGCAGCCACCAGCAGACCCCTCCGCCCCGCCGGTTTGAGGACAAACAAACTCCATCACTGCCCACTCCCGCGGCAACCTGGTACAGTACGTGCAGCTGCCGCACACACTTCCTCACACACACAGGTCGACCGTCCGTGTCCGCCGCCCGTCTCCTTACCCCGGCGGTGGCGGGGAGACACACTCACCGTGTGCACAGTCGGGGCAGGTCTGTAGGCACGCCAGACCGAACCGGCCATCCTCGCAGGGTACGGTGCAGTCGGAGCCCTTCCAGCCGGGCGCGCACGTGCACAGGCCCGACTTGGGGTCGCACGACGAGTGGTTCTTGCAGTGGCACACGTCCTTGCATTCTGGCCCGTAGCGGCCCTCCTGACACTGCGTCTCACACCTAACACCTGCGCGCACACACACGGTCAGCCAACATAAGGCTGACAGCAAGTCGGTCGGGCAGGTCGGGGCGGGGCGGGGCGGGGCGGGGCGGGGCGGGGCGGGGTGGATCGGATCGGATCGGACGAGACCGGATAGGACTGGATCGGATCGGATCGGATCGGATCGGATCGCGTTGAACCGGATTGGACCGGACCGAACTGGGCCGGATCACACTGGATCAGATTGGATCAGATCGGATCAGGCTAGGCCAGACCGGGCTGGGTCGGGTTGGATCGGGTCGGGTTAGGTCACGGAAAGCAAACAGACTTCTGCTGAGTACTGCCATACAACCCACGACACCACCGTGCCGACCGGCCACTCGGTTGAACCCACACTTTAAGACAGCACAGCTTCCTCACACCCGCGCCCCAGCCACGGAAGGCTGCTTCCGTACCTCGCCAGCCGGGCTTGCAGATACAGCGTCCGGTGACCGGGTCGCAGCCCTCGCTGTTCTCCTTGACACAGGAGCAGCGCAGCTTGCACCCGATGCCGGCGGTGAACTCGTCACACTTCTCCGTGCACAGTTCACCCTTGAAGCCGGCGGCGCAGACGCAGCTGCCTGCGTGGATACAGCGAGCACACACATGAGCCACTGGGAGGCGGACAGGTCGCGGCACCAGCTATGTTACGAACGTCTCGTTTCGCACTGCAGTGCCACAACAATGACCGTCAAGGAACCGCTGCCAGCCTTCATGAACCGCAACTTGTGTAGCGAATAAACGGCATGGCAGAACACGAAGCAAAGCCCTTACACCTGTCATCAAGCGAGAGGAAGGTGACGCGTTACCCGAGCGACCTGTCCTGCCACTCCCCATCCGAGCGGCAGGCAGTCCCCGGCCAGCCGGGCGCCTCTCGAGCGGGCTGAGCTCACCGTCGACAGGGTCGCAGGCGGCGCCGCCCTGGCACAGGCAGTTGCTTCTGCAGCCGAGCCCGTACTTGCCGGCCGGGCAGGGCGAGCTGCAGCTGAGGCCCGACCAGCCGGCCGTGCAGTTGCAGTGGCCGTCCTCGTGGCTGCAGGCGGCGCCGTTGGCGCAGTCGCAGGCCAGCCGGCAGCCGCGGCCGTACCATCCGGCCGGGCAGTGGGTGCCGCAGTCTTCGCCGATGTAGCCTGCGGCGGCCGCCGCCGGTCAGGGCTCGCGCGCCACGCCGCGGCGCAGGCGGGGGAGGCGGAGCGGCGCTGGTGGCGGCGGCGGGGGGAAGGGGGGAGGGATGACCCGCTCAGAAGGTAGGGTCCACTTGCTCTTGTTATAGGGGCGAAGGTCCGGCGCGCGTTCACAGACAATCGTGAACATTTTCAAAAGCAACATTGAAGTTGTACGTGCTTTCTAAAGGACATCACAGGCTAGATCTAACAGGCATCTGGCCATACTTGTTACCGACGTTAATTTGAAATTTGTCGCTCGGAACACATTTGCTCGCCGCTTTGTTCTCCACGAGAATGAAAGTCTATCTAATCTGGGTCTGAGCTCTTAAGCGGGCCATCTCGCAATGACAAGCACAGGCCACAAAGTTTTCCTTCTACGATAACCAAGTTATCACGTATCAGATCAGAGATCACGCAGCAAAGAAAAGAAAATACGGGAAAGTGTAGGTCTTTTCCCCGTTTCACACAGGACATGACATTGGCTGAGCACGCGCCCAGCCCCGCTCTCATTGGCGCGTCGGCGTCCCACGAGCCGCCACACGCGTGCGGTGATATGCGCTTTAGCGTTCACCAATAACTATACAATAGCACAATAACGGGTTGCCCGGTTAAACTTCCACTTCCCCGGCCCAACTCACCACGCGGCGATCAAACCCTTTTTTTCAAAATTCCTCCGTGGCGCGCCACCTGGCTACACGCCATCCCGCCGACACCTCTCCTGCTAACCGCCGGACTGCCCCTTACCTGCGCTGCACGTGCACGTGCCGTTGAACTGATCGCAGAAGGCGCCGTTCTTGCAGTTGCACAGGCCCTGGCAGCCATCGCCGAACCTGTAGTAGGCGCACGGCCGCACGCACAGACGGCCAGCCCAGCCCTGCTTGCACTTGCACTCGCCCGTCCAGGGGTGGCACCTGAAGGGAACGCAACAGTCCAGCCGGTCACCGAGCGGCCCTCTAGCGCAGTGACGCGCATACGCAGCTGCGCAGACCCGGTCCGCCGCGGCACGCTGCGTCGACGTGCGCCGCGCCGGGGTCAGGGACACAAAGACAATGGGACGGATCCAAGTCACCGCCAACGGCGAAAGAAGGGAAAGGCAGAGGCTCATCGAGAGAGATTGAGCCCCTTAAGACCATCAGAGATCCTGATGATTCGTAATCTGCGGCGCGTGCAGGTGTACACTCACAAGTGGGAGATAATCAAGCTTAGCACGTGGTAGGATTAGACACAACGCAGCAACAGTCCTACGAGGATTGCGTCACCAAGTTCTCGACAACAGCAGCAGACCAGAGCAAACCCGCGAGTAGTGGATATTTCGGTGCACCCTTACTAGTCACCAAACAACTGTCAATTCTAAAATCAGGGACAGACTCCCCCAACTCCGCGTGCCGTCGGGCTTCAGCCGGACCGACTCACTGTTCGGTGTTGTTGGGGTCGCACGTGCACACGCCCACGCAGTTTTGGCCGAAGCGGTCCGGTTCGCACACGCGGCGGCTGCAGTTGGCGCCCGTCCAGCCCGGCTCGCACTGACAACTGCCGTCCGCTATGTTGCACGTGGCGCCGTTGTCGCACGTGCAGTTGCCAGCGCAGTCGAGGCCCCATGTGCCTAGCGGACACTGCTCCTGACACTGGGGACAGGCGTGACGCATTTGACGGCGAACACCGATGTAGGAGAGGCGTTTGATCAGGGGTGCGGGCAGACTCGAGGCGATGGCTCGGGACGACCCGGAGAATAGCAAGTGGATACAACGGTGATTAGATGCGTTGTATATCGCAAAAAGTACGCAGTGTACCTCGAATATCATAACGTATGGGAACCGTGCGAACCAAAGCACCTGCCCACTTCACACCAGCGCCTTTCCCAGTTTGCCATCGCGTCATTCCAGACCGGACCTGAGCTCTTCGCCTGCCTACACTGCCTCCCCAGCCCGTACCTGAGCGCCTTCCCTGCCTACGCCGCCTCCCCAGCCGGTACATGAGCACCTTCCTTGTCTACACCGCCTCCCCAGCCCGTACATGAGCACCTCTTGCCTACACCGCCTCCCCAGCGCGACCCTGAGCTCCTCCCCTCCTGTCTACAGCGCCTCCCCAGCCCGACCCTGAGCGCCTTCCCCGCCCACACCGCCTCCCCAGCCCGTACATGAGCACCTCTTGCCTACACTGCCTCCCCAGCCCGACCCTGAGCGCCTCCCCTGTCTACAGCGCCTCCCCAGCCCGACCCTGAGCGCCTTCCCCGCCCACACCGCCCCCCCAGCCCGTACATGAGCACCTCTTGCCTACACCGCCTCCCCAGCCCGACCCTGAGCGCCTCCCCAGCCCGACCCTGAGCGCCTTCCCCGCCCACACCGCCTCCCCAGCCCGTTCATGAGCACCTCTTACCTACACCGCCTCCCCAGCCCGACCCTGAGCTCCTCCCCGGTCTACAGCGCCTCCCCAGCCGGTGCCTGAGCACCTTCCTTGCCTACACCGCCTCCCCAGCCCGACCCTGAGCGCCTTCCCTGTCTACAGCGCCTCCCCAGCCCGACCCTGGGCGCCTCCCCTGTCTATAGCGCCTCCCCAGCCCGACCCTGAGCGCCTCCCCTGCCTACACCGCCTCCCCAGCCGACCCTGAGCGCCTCCCCTGTCTACAGCGCCTCCCCAGCCCGCACCAACGTGCATCTGCAGTCCGTACCTGAGCCCCCCTGAAGCCGGCCGTGCACTCGCACACGCCCGTCACGTGGTTGCAGGTGGCCGAGTTGTAACAGGAGCAGCGGCGCTCGCAGTCCTGGCCCCAGGAGCCACGAACACATCGGTTGCCGCAGACGTCACCCTGTCAGTGCGCGAGGGGAAGGCCGTCATCAACGGGTGCCGGGCGACCCCGGACAGCCCGCGAAGGCGTGGGGTCACGCAGTCCGGCACACAATGGCTCGGAGGACGGCCTCAAGTCACCGGAGGTTCTCAGATCACGCCGGCCGGTGTTAGATGACGAGTGGTAGCGCCTGATGTCGGGGAACGGACGTCAGGTGCGGCAGGGCGGCATCTGATACCGCCACAAGACAGGCCCAGGCAGCCACAAGACAGGCCCCTGTGTGAGATGATGGCAGGAGTGGGTGTGGGGAAGGGGGGAGGGAGGGAGGGGGCGTAGACATGTCGATGACGAGCATCGCCGGTCAAATGGCGACTGAGAGGGGCGGACAGGCATCCTCTGACACAGGGGTCCCGGTGCACCAGGCAGCGCAGCACGGATGGTGCCGAAAAGCCCTCCATAACGGCCTTTTTCACACAAGCTCTGGATTTCAGAAAGCAGACTGCCACCACTCGCCGCGACCATGCCGCGAGAGGAGCTCCCCAAGCTCCCGAGGCGAACAGTCCCCGTGTTTTGCAAAAGGCGGCCACCGCGATGACGATGATGACAGAACAACGATCCAAACGGATGTGCGCGCAAGACAACAGCGCAAAGTTTGCAGACCCCCTCATTCCCCCTGTCGCATGCACAGACATGGGGGATAGGGGGGGAGGTACAAACGATGGAGTCACGAACGCCTCATGACAGTTCCGCCGAGGCGCCCGGGGACAGTCCCGCGAACACCCGTGGCGGCCACCACCGGACGCGCCGACCATCAGGCGAGCGTCCGGCGTCAGGCGTTTCGGCCCCCCTTCCGTCAGCAGCCCCCCCCCCCTTCCGTCGGCAGCCCCCTCTCCCCGCGGAAGACTCGCCTCCCATCCGGGCGTGCACATGCAGCTACCGTCCTCGGGGTTGCACGAGCCGTTGTTCTGGCACTGGCAGCGTTGGGTGCACTGGTCGCCGTGCGTGCCCGGCGGGCAGTGGTCCTGGCAGAGCGGGCCCGTCCAGCCGGCCAGGCAGTTGCACGCGCCGGAGGCGGCGTCGCAGCGGCCGCCGTTGGCGCACTGGCACGGCTCGGCGCACCCCAGGCCGTACGTGTTGGCCGGGCATGATTCCTGGCATCGGTCGCCGCGCCAGCCGGGCGCACACGAGCACGCGCCGCTCAGTGGGTCGCAGCTGGCGCCGTTCAGGCAGGCGCACTCGTTCACACAGCCACGACCCCACTTGCCGGCCGGACACGCTGGAACAGAGCGGGTTGTCAGAGGGGATGGGGTCGGCGGGGGCGCCGGGGGCGCCGGCCGGCACCAATCGCCCAAATCAATGACAGCGGCGCGAGCGACACGGCCAGCGTCGCCGCACGCGCCGCTGACTCACGCTCGGGGCAGTCGGCGACCCCGACTGACATCCGTGACGGGGTAAGAAAAAATAGTCCCGTCACGTGTAACGGCATCAACTGAGGGAGGTCCGTGACCGGGTCAGAGTGCAGCGACCACACGTGGGCCCCGATGGCCGCCCGCCCGCTACAGAGCATCTACGACGTGCCATGGGGTCGCCGCATGCCGCGGACGACTCGTGCGTCGCGCCAGGACGCCGCGCGACGCCGGCCGAGCGCCCGGCACGACCACGCCGCGCGATAGATAAACAGAGCCGGCGACCAAGGCTCTCGCCGCGCTGCACACTGACAGCGGACAAACGCAACCACTGCGAAGCACGGGCGGCAAAAACGCCGCATGCCAGGCCGCGGGCGTTGCAAAACCGGGGCTCGTGGACGACGACAGAGGACGCGAGCCGCCCCCGCAAGGTCGGAGAGGTCCGGGTTCCGCCGCGGCAACATGAGACCCAAACGACATACGGGTGGCGCCGCTCGGCCCGGCCGGCCTCAGGTGCTCACCGTAACGCGAGCCGTCCGTCACGGGCTCCAGGTGCCCGCGGCGTCACCTGCGACGCCGCGGGCAGAGCCGTGACCGGACCGGGCGCAGGCCCTCGACGGCGCGTCGGGCGGAGTGACTTGTGGGGCGCTCGACGCCCCGTGTTATGCGCAGCTATTCGTTTCTTCAATGAATATCATTTCTTTTGACGCCAGTGACTGAATCCATGCCAGATCAACGGTGTCGAGGACGCTCGCACCGGTTGTAGTGATAAGCAAGCAGACGGCCGTGTACCGTGTACGAAATTCAGTTCCGGACCATTTGTTCATCCTGTCGATGAGAGCATGCAGAAGACTCTTTTTGGTTTCCGAGTGGTTACTTACCTAACTTGCAAACTGTTTCTCAGAGAGCGACAACGGTTATTATCTTCCTAACATCCAGGGTGCTGCTTTGTACACTTGACGGGGCACCAGGCCCCCCATTAATTTCGTGATTTAACGTTACGACTAGGGCTAGTCGTGGGAAGAATACCTTCAAACAGCCCGAAGTCAATTTTTTCACTCATTCTTTGGGAGCTTTGTCATGTATATACATATCCATTGGGGAGCTTCCGCGTTAATGCGGATCCGCGAAATCAAAATGGCGTCGCAAAAGCCGACATGTTTTGTGTTATGCAACTTGTTTAAATTCGTACCACCACAATGAGGTCCCACCGAAAGAGTTTCCTGCCCGCCACCAGGGTCTCTTTAATACCCCTTGTGTGTTTCCGCAAATACACAGATAACCAGTTTGCAGTGGGTCACAAGTTCTAAAAGCGGTACATGCCAGTGGAACTAAAACGCAGGATACAAGCAGACACACAACAAACACAAGCGCTGACACGGTCGTGAATAATGAGAACACACGTCTGACCCAGGCCCGTCCTCGGTGACATGAGGATTCCGCATTAGCCACATTCTGTGCTCAGCCCTTCATGGCCAGCTGGCGGGGCATGGGGAGGGTGCACACGTCATTAGATATATCATTTTCAGAGGAAATGTAAACAGACATGGCGGCCCCATGATAAATCTGAACCTTAGATTTCTGCGCGCACGGCCTGGCCCTTCACATCCTTCTTCTCAACCCTTCGTTCATGCCGCCGTCCAAAGGTGAAACCCCATATGTCCATTTTTGCACACTTGTTTGTGTGAGTGTTTGCTGTCGCTTGATTTGTCTTCTCAAACTGAATTCAATTAGCCAAATCATCATTTGACATTTTCACAAACTTCTAGACCTTTCTTAAGCTAAGAGCTTGTGACATTTTCCACGAATGGTATAAATGACCAAATTCAGTCAAAGAACATCAATCAGATGGCACCGAAAACGCAAAATGCCCGAGAACAAACACATGAGGTTCAGCCTTTGGACAGCAGCACGAACGGCTGAATGCAAAATGGAGCTGACGCCATCAGTCCCAGCTGATCTGCTCGGTACAGTAATGGCATAGTTACTAAACGAACGCGATCAACAAGATAAGCTGAGGTGAAAAGGCAAGAAGCCAATGGCTAAATGCCGCCCCACTCTCGCAAGACACCAGTTTCTTGGAGGCAATTTACAAGGCTTCCGGCGTTTCTATGGCGCATCACAGACGCGTAGGTAACAATGTTTGCGGTGCCAGCTGGTTTTGGGCGAAGGCAGTGAAAAACATATCGGTCGCCAATGACTAATGGCGGTCGGTCTAATGACTAATCGGTCCCCAATGACAGAACGGCACCGGTAACCCAGTGAGAATACTAATCTGCAGTTTTTGCCAAAGTCGCATCTGCAATTTGCGTAGCTAAGAGTGCAACCTTATCGCATATTTGGCGTGAAACTCTTTCAGGGATGGTGTTTCATTAACAGCATGAGCGAACACGGTGCATAATCCGGTTCGGTTTGGCTGCGTAGTAGGAGACAAGTCCGAGACCACGGTTTGCCGTCACACACCACATGCATGTGATGCAACCAAGCACTGGTAACACGCGCTCGAGTAGGGGGGGGGGGGCAAATTGACCACCGAAGGTTTTTCCGAACGGTTTCCGAACGGCGCGGCGTAGCCACGCAAAATGTTAATCAGCTATAGACAATTGAACAACGGATCCTTTGATATTAAACATTTAGATGTACCTTGTAAGGTCGCTGATATATGGCAGGTCAAAGTCAGGCCACGGTTTGAGCGAAGTCAATTTCCAGGGAATTGCTCAATCTGATGCAACAACGGAGTATTAGACGAAGCCATAGATCTCTGAGATGCTTTCTTAGCCAACACAAATATTGAATGAGCAAATTATATTCACCTTAGGTCAGGCATGAAGGTCAGGCCACGGTCAAGACCAACCTCTTTTATTACTCTAGGACTTGCTGTATGGGATAGTTTCTGATGTTCGTTTCAAACTTATTGACAGCAAGAACCACATCATACATCTTCCATAGACTTCTTAGAGGTCAGAATAGGTCATTGACCTAGAATGAACCAGGTCAACATTTTGTTTTTAGAAACATGCTGCCTAGCGTAATCTTTGTCGCTTATTCAAATGCAAAACTCAGAGCAGTCTTGGATGCCTTTGGTCACCATGATCTTCAAAAGGTCAAACAAAGTCACTGACCCCGAATGAGCGTGCGACCTTTTGCTTAGAAACAGTTATTTAGGTTCTGGAGGCACTTTGAAACCAACCTAAAATTTGACCATGTTTGACCTTATTTTACCCGAAAGTAATGACCTAGGAATCTCAAACTTCTGCCTAAATGAGCTAACGTACAGGTCAATATATCCTGTAAATTTGGTGTCTCTAGCTCTCTTAGTTCCCGAAATCTCAGGAGGTCAAATTGACCCCCCCCCCCCCTCCCCACTCGAGCGAAGGGTATCTAGCCGGCCACCCAGGCGTGTATCAATTTCCGCAGTCCAGACTTCAGAGAAAACAAGGCAAAGGGCGACATCGATTGGTCATTTTATCTGACGCAGTGAGTAGTGATGAGCCTGCTCTCGAGGCGGCTGCGGTCAGCAGCTCCCTCTGATCGGGCTGGCGAGGCGCAGCGGTCTGGGCCGGCGCACCGCAGCGGAAGACTGGAGCCGACCTCCGCGCGGCCCAGATGGGGCCGGCCCAATCATCGCGTGACTCGCGGAAATGCCCCCGGGGGCCAGCGCCGCCCAGCCGGCCGGTCGATACTACACTACGCCAGCTGCCTGCGGCCGCGCCGGGCCGGGCCGGGCCGGGCCGGGCCGGGCCGGGTCGGGTCGGGGGGGGGAGGGGGGGGCGGGTGTGAGAGGCGCTGGGTCACGCGGCTCAATGTCCGGGACATCCCCAGTCGGCGAGCCGTCGTCTAGAGATAAGGGCGGCAAAAGAGGAGGGGGAGCGATGGCACTATCCACTGACTGTGCGGCGTCCGTGCCATCCCGGAGCCCGGCTAGTCAGCGCACACCGGCCTGGCGCTGACAGAGTACGACGGACCCAACCTCAGGCGCTTGTCTGTCGCCTACCGAAAACGTCAACTGGTCGTATAAACACGGTCAGTTTTCACCTCGGTCGGAACCCACAACACGCAAATTGCTAGCTTTACCTCCGAGACGGATTATCCAGGAAATGTTGCCGGCTCGCAACTGGCACCACGGTTTTTCCGCTGTTAGATTGTGGTTGTATCGTTCAGAAACGAAGACTCGCTGCCATTTCCAGCCGTGAGCCAGCCAGCCGCCAACGCAAACAATCCGGGCTCGAGCGCGCTGAAGCGCCCATCGGACTTGAGAGAAAGCATGGACACACCTGCTGAATCAAGCTTCCGCATCACTTGTAACCCTGACGCCCGTAATGCTCTTGGACAACATAACCATCCGACGTTGCTAACAGGTCCGGGCGATTTGCCTCAGCGGTCAGCTAGTCATCTTTCGGGTCCTACACGGAGAGTGGAGGACCCGTGCCTCGTCCGACCCGCGGCGGAGCCCGGCAGGCTCGTGGTGCGCCGGCGCCTACTCACAGAGCTCGCAGGTGGGGCCGCCGTAGCCAGACTCGCAGACGCACGTGTTGGGCTCGGCGCAGCGGCCGTGCAGGCACTCGGGCGAGCAGACCGCGTGGCAACGGTTGCCAGACTCAGTGTAGCCCTTGCAGCACAGTTCCACCGTCCGCGTCTTGACCTTGGCCTGCGGGTCAGACAGCCGGCAGTGAGCGGCGGTGCCGGGCGCGCTATCGCCACAGCCGGACCGGACCGGCAGACTGGATCACGTCGCCGGACCGGCAGACTGGATCACGTCGCCGGACCGGCAGACTGGACCGTCATGTCGCTGAGCGGTAGACAGTGAGTGACCGGCCGCGGCGGCGACCGTAGGGCGGCACGACCACGAGTGCGTTGGATCTGAAAACGAGATACCGGCTTTCTTTTTCGGCAGCCCTTCTCATTGTATAACACAAGTCGTGCAAAACCCCACCAAAAGGGATGTGGAGACCTTCGGAGGGATGTAGACGTTCAAAACATCCTTTCTTGTTCTCGAGCGAAAAGAGGTGAATATATCATGGGACCGTAAAGATTGATCATGCTTCTCCAAAAAAGTCGAGGAGGAGAAAGGCACTTCCATATTTTGTCACAACTATCCGTGCAAATATCAAGTTTGGTTTTCCCATGCTAGCACATTTCCGTCAATTATTATCCTGCATTTAAGGAAGACTTTGTAAATATCATGCACGATCTCTGCCTGACCTGACTCATGGCGACAACACTCGTTGAAACAGAGAAAGCATGACAACGTCACACTCATGCTGACTGGCTGTATTAATTTAAGCCCATTGCTTTCCACCATTGTCCGGCCTCGTATACTGCCAGATCCGTTCGACCTTGGAGGTTTTCCTGTCATGCTTCAACAGATCACCAACAGCAGGCCGGCGTCCCTGGCCGGTCACACGCTGCACCGCAAGTTTTGCTCATCTAACGGCGTGCAGATCACCCTTACTTCTGTCAGCAAGCGAAGAAAACACGGCGCAGAAATAGAACCGATAACGTGCTAGGCCTGAACACGACACTTATCTGAGGCACACCTGCTAGTGATAGCATCCACCAAAACAAGTCCCTCTCGTCATTTGCGTAGCGTCGTTACATTTGTCCCGAGGCTTGGGTCGTGACGTTAGAACACACAGCTGCGTCGATGGGACAGCAGCTGCAGCGTGCAGGGATGGGTGGACCACATCTCCCACCAGCGAGTAGACCACTACCTGCTGCGCGTAGCGTGTAACGATGATCGCGTGTGTGTGGAGCAGTGTGTGACTTTGATCGTGCCTAGATGCTCCTTGATTCAGGCACGTAGCGCTTTTATGCCAAACTCCTTCTATTGTGATAATCTATGCATCACATATGCAGTGGCCCTTCAGCCAATCAGACAACGTACACAATCACATTTGCTTGCAGCACCGCCCGCAAACAATGGCAAGCTGGCGCCGTCACACAGCCAATAGCATGCTGGCGCCGTCACAGCGCTGTCACACAGCCAATGGCATGCTGGCGCCGTCACACAGCCAATGCACCAGCCGTCTAGATGCTATTTCTAGCCTCCCACACACCGCACCTGTTACAAAGCCTCGGCACCGCCTCAGCGCGATATATTCACCGCAGAGGCAAAGCCATACATAAGGCATCCCGCCGCCTCCACCCGTAGCGTGCCGACGGCACTGAGGTACGCCCCTACGCGGCTCGGCAGCAGGCGCTATGCCTCCTCGTGCGGCATGAGCGCAACGAAAGCGAGGTGACATGACGTGACGTGACATCATAAGACATGACGTGACGTCAGTCCGCTCAAAGACAACACAAACGGACGCGCGCCTGACGGACCTGTCCGCCGCGCGATCCATGCACGAACGGCGGCCGGATCTGATGCCGCGACGCGCATCAGGCGGCCATGCAAAGGAAGCGGACGTCACCATATCAGCCTTCGGCGGCGGAACCCCGGAGGCCACCTCGCGGGGCGGAGGGGCCCGCCGGAGCCCGCCACGGGAGCTGCGGACGGACGCCCGTGGCCCGGTGCAGCGCTCGCTGGCCGGCGGCGGCGGCGGCGGGTAGGCGGCTGCGCCTCGGAACAGATGGCCACTCCCACACTCAGCTGACGTCAGTCGAGCGGGAGAATTCACGCCCGCCCTGCGTCTGATCCCGGTCTCGGTCCCGGTCTCGGTCCCGGTCCCGGTCTCGGTCTCGGTCTCGGCCTCGGTCTCGGTCTCGGTCCTGGTTCCGGTTTCGGTCTCGGTCACAGTCCCAGTCCCAGTCCCAGTCCCAGTCCCAGTCTCAGTCTCAGTCTCAGTCTCAGTCTCAGTCCCAGTCCCAGTCCCAGTCCCAGTCCCAGTCCCAGTCCCAGTCCCAGTCCCAGTCTCAGCTCGCGTCTCCGTTTCGGTTTCGGTTTCGGTTTCGGCCCTCGCACCGGGCAGAAGTGCCGGAGCACAGCAGCCGGCCTGCCTCCGTCCGCCGCTCGCTCGTCGGCTGACGTCAGCGGAGAAGCGCGCCCGGCCTCCCGCCGAGCCCCGCTGCGCTGCTGACGTGCGTTCCCGTCCCGTACCGTGGCGGAGGCGCGAGAGCGCGCTGTCGTGCCGTCTCGCAGATGCAGACGCCAGCTGTCCAACAGACAACTCCCACCATGACAATGATGCATAACAAAGCCAGTCGTCACGCACCGAAAAGTAATCGTGACTTCGCACGTGTCTGTGTATGTATGTGTGTGTGTGTGTGTGTGTCAAAGGGGCGTCCGTCGTGAAAACTTTCGCCATTTCCCCTCCGCCGTCGGCGGGTGAAAGTTAACTCTGCACTTCAGCCCTCCCCAGCGACAACCACCTGAGTTCTTCGCTCTGCTCTGAAGTACCGCGTGAGTCAACTGGCAGCGGAAAACTTTGCCAGCCAGTGAAGACATAAAAATAAAACAGACAACCCCGCTCCACCTGTCGCCGTGGCGCCACCTCCCGAGGCGAAGTGGCACCAAAATGTCTACAGCGGATCACGAGTGACCTCGATGCCCCTGGGGGATGAAGTAACCCAGCGGCTGCTCATACGAGTGAGCTCCAACCGGAATCCGAGCGTCATCGGGAAGCACAAGCCTCTGACTGGACGACCAGCGCTGGATGCTGCAATCTAGCCCCCGTCTAGCAACAGCGAGCGGGCGCCAGCCTCCTCGGACTGCGAACCGCCCGGCACAGTTCTCTAAAAACTGAAATGATCACTTGTGCGCGCTCTCTCCAATCCATCGGCGGCGCGTGGGATACTTGCGGCCTTGCCTCCAATCATAGCCTCGGGCGCTGGGTATCGACGAGCGCCTTGCAGTCATCCAGCCCACGCAGATCAACTGAAACATCCCGGTGTTTAACCCAATTGACACTTCAGTCGAACAATCGCTGCGGTATGACGCAGCACAACAGTCATGTTCCCAGTAGCATTTGCACCAGACTTAAACGCCACCAGATCGCTGACAAGTGCCGTCTTCTCGAGTCCCCCGCAGGGCGTCAGCGGCATTTGGCGGGGCCCGTAGCTCTGACCCCGTCGCAGCCAGCACCGCATCTCCACAAAGGCCGGCAGGCGCACAAAGACCCCGATTGCGGCACCCGCTCCGGCTCGCACGGCCGGACGGACGCCACGCGCCGGCCGCCCGCACCGCACTCTCGGCTGAGGTCAGCCGGCGGGCCTGGCGGCCCCGAGCACGTCAGGGCCGGCCCGCCGCCGGCAGACGGATGTTTACGAGAGCCGGTGGTCCAGCCCCGAGTCCGACCGAGCTCGGCCTGACTGACGCGCTCCAGGCCCGGCCAGCACCGCTCTAGGCCCGGCAATGCCGCTCCAGGCCCGGCCAGCACCGCTCTAAGCCCGGCAATGCCGCTCCAGGCCTGGCCAGCACCGCTCCAGGCCCGGCAGAGACGCGACGAGGCGGGCTCCACGGCTGCGCCGCTCGCTCCGGTCTAGTGTTCCCGACTGTCCCGGGGTCTGGCTTCGGACTCATGAGTGGAGCCGGCAAGGTTGTGCGCGCTTGCTACGTTTTGTGGCGTATTCAAAACAGTCCGTGTTATGGGATGAGTACCTCTTCTTACTGAGTACCACGTGCGCCACATGACGAGCACCGCATGTACCATGTGTGCCACATGTACCACGTGATGAGTTCCACGCATGTCTCTCCACGTGGGTTGTACCGAGTATGATGAGCACGAACTCTCAGTCGGTCTTGTACTGACTAGAGCCGGGACATGTCATACATTAAGCAAACATTTACGTCATGCGTGAGTTGGCTCACAAATTCGTCATGGGTTTAGTGGCCCAGCGTTGTTGACATTCGTTCCCTCGCATGCATCACTATTCAACTTACGCCAAGTCTCCCTAGTTTTCCATGAATCGCTGGCTGAGCAAGTCCCAAGGTCGCGAAATGAAGGCTTACCACCAGCACAAGCCCTCAGTCGACCTTGTACCAAAACACTCAAAATATAGCTGGATTATTTCCATACTTCCCATGCCCCATGCATTCCCACGTGCACCGCATGCTGGGACTGCGAACGCCGCAGTCGGCGATGGTAGGGGCGGGCGGCGGGCCGTCGAGCCGGCGCCGGGGCGGAACGGTGCCCCGGGCGTGGCGCGCGCTGGCCGCCGGGCCGGGCGCGGCCGCCGGCGGCGCTGCTGCCCGCTGTGTAAACAGCGCGGCCACCCGGCCCGGGCCTCAGCGCGCGTGACGTCACCGTCCACAGCGCCGCCCCAAAGAACTGTCAGTCACCACGGCACGGGCAGCCGACGGCGGTGGAGCGTCGCGCTCCCTCGCGCCGTGTCATGTCGCCGCACTAACAGCGGAACGCGGTGAGATCCGGCGGCGCCGCGGCCGACCGGACGCATACGGGGTTGTCGTGACCCGGGCGCCGTCGACCGACCCAGTACGTTGCAAAACCAGGCACCGAACCAGCCGGGCGCCAGCGACTGAGCCGCCCCGCCCCCTCCGCCCCCGCCAGACTGGTCGCTCGCTCGGTTCGGTGGCCATCGTGCCGGTCGAATCGAACCGCAACGGAGGGCAGGACGTCAGTCAGGAGCGTGCGTCGGGCCGCCGCAGCCGGGAGAGCCGCAGCCTCGCGGCGCAAGGCCGCGCCGCGCTTCTTTGTGGCGTGCCACCGCGGCGCAGTGTAAATGTTTTCGCTTGTCAGCTCAAGCGAAACTAAAATCGGGCGTGATTCAGTGGAAAATTCGCTGGAAATATAGCGAGATTATGAACTTTTGACAAGCGTGTGTGACCGCGACGCGGACAGTGATTCACAGCATAACCGAAAGTGCATGCAGCGACAAAGCAGATCCACATTCTCGTGGAGCTTAAGGATGGAAGACGCGAGGTCAGGCTCAAAAGCTCGAGCGCGGTCTCCGAGAAGCATGAAATACGCATCCGACCTATACGTCACACATGTGGCAGCCAGGTGGCCCGAAGACGTGCACAAGTGTAGACCGTCCCACCAGGGCAAGTGCAGCCCTCTCTATCACCGCGCCTGACTCCGCCACTGCCGGCACGCCAGGTCCGGCTTTCCCGTTCGCTGCCGGCCCGTTTTTGGTTGCGTCAGGCCTGCGAAGCGTCTCGCGACCTCGCCACGCCGGTGCACCAGACACCGATCACCGAACACCAGACACCCTTCTACCGAGGCCGCACATCCACAAAGTACACATATCATTTCAGTCATTTCCCGGATATGGTGCCATCGATGGTACACAGCCCGTAGTTTGCAACCAATAGCAGTAGCGCAGCCCGCCACCAACAGCAGTGCAAAGAAGTCTCGTCACTAGTTCTCAGAGCATATGTACAAATATGTTGCTTCGTATCTTAACCTTAAGTACCTTACCTTAACGCCGTAAGAACTCAGTGGCATCGCATGGGCCAGCTCCGGCACACGCTTCGAGAGCACCGTACAAGCCTGTCATCCCCCGACGTGGCACGTGGGAGCCCTGCACCCCCGCCCGGGAGGAGGAGTAATCAGGAGTAATCAGAGACGTCCTCACCGGCCCCGGCCGAGGCCAATCAACCAATCGAGGCCCTCGGCGGGTAGCCGGCAAGGCGGAGCAGCTCGTTAGCTGAGCAAGGCACGGTCGATTGTAAGAGGAGCCTCCGACACAGACTGAGGCGGTCGGCCGCATCAAGCTGAGGCGTCTGTGCGGTGCAGCGCTGCCCCGAATAAATGAGGCTAATCAAGACATACACTGACTTTCACTGGCTATTATTTACGTAGCCTGAAAAAGCTTTTACCTTGGTAAATATACTTTCATTAACAGCTAACAAAGGCGAGGCGTAACCAACAGCGAGTGGAAAGCCAGATAGAACGCAATGCAGCACCCACGCGCATGCATCGCAGGCAGAATACCAAGAAAAGATGCAACATCGGACTGCAAGCCTTTAAAAATACTGCCACAACAATTTTGCAACAATAAACATCTCCCAGCAAACAGTCGAACAAGGAGTCGCCCGTGACTCGTAAACCGTCACTTAAATTGTGGCCTTCCTTGACCGCTCACGATAAGCTTGGCTGGCACACAATACCTTCAAAAGCCCCGTGGAAAGAAGCCCCGAAACCTTTCGTTTCACGTGCGAGAGGGTACCATCGGGATCACTGAAAACTCAAATGCATTATTTTGGCCCTAAAAGTTGCGTACAACGCTCACACATACTTACTTTCCTTGTCTTGCCAGATGGCATGACAGCCTCTTCCCTAATTGTTATGGCACTTCGTCATTGCTGATATTGCGGGCAGGATGGCAACAGCAAGGAGCAACCGTACATCTTCCACGAAGGTAAAATAGCAAGCATCACCATACTGTCTTTGAGAACTAACATCCGGGATCGAAATCCGCTTCGTTATTCAAGCCACGCCACACGGACACAGATCGCCATGTAGATGGACTGAGGCAAGGATCAAGACGAAAGAAAACGTTTTGTAGGCTTGCATTACCTCAAACAAGCGGGAAATTTCCAAAGCTTCTTTCCACCACAGAAAAATCTGGTATGCCAGAAGGCTTGCCGGTTGGTACTTCCATCCGATTATGTACACTTCATGAACTTTATGAACACTTTATGTACACTTTATGTACTTTATGTACACCTCCATTGTGAAAGTACCACATGGCAGCGCTCCCCTTCCGGCAGCGTCCACAGCATTACAGACCAAGATAAAAACATTACAGACCAAGATAAAGCACAACAGCGAGAGGGCTTTGCTTCTCCGAGATTCATTACGGTTGTAAAACCGCTTTTCAGAGCCATGTTTTGGTCGTCTTAGACATAACGAAATTGGAGGGCTTTTTAGAAGGCCTGATCTCTGAGCGGGAGAGTTCATATAGTGACTTAGCGTTTTGATCAAACTCTTGCTGGTCTGTTGGTTGACGCCTGTAGAAAATGCATGTAGGAAGGTTTCCAGCCGGACGTAAGCTACACTTGACAGATGGGGGTTCCTGGCCGGAGTTAATTGTTCCACATTCGACCTTTATCTTGAATAACAGCCAAACACAACAAAACAAAAGCAATGCCGCCCTGCACCGAGTCAATGCAGAAGCCAAGCAGCAAGCCACTACCAAGTCATAACGAGGTAGTAAGTCACCAATCACTGCACCCTTCCTCACAACTGTTAAAAGAGCACCGAGCCACACTGTGATCCAATGTCTTTCGCGGGCTGCTTCGTAGCCATTCCACGTTGGGATACTCGTCGTTAGCAGGACACTGCGAGCTACCGCACCATCATCGCCGGTGTGACTCACCTCCGTTTTGTATTTGGTCGTGTAGGCCGTCTTGTACTTCGTGCAGAAAGGCGGCAGGCCCAGGCACCAGGTGACGGTCCGGACCCGGTACGGCGCCAGGTACGATGTACGGATCGCCTTCGTGTACCTGCAACACCGCGCACGCAGCGGGTGACATCCGGGTGACACCAGGGTGACATCCGGGCCGGACCCCGGGGTTCTCCCGTGCTGCGGACGGTCGGGGGCCGGCCGGGCCGGGCCGGGCCCCCGGCCAGATAACGGCTTATTGACCGGGCGCGCGGCGGCGGAGGGCGCGCGCACGCCAAACAAGCGGCCCGGCGCCGGCCGACTAGCCGCGGCCTGGGCCCCAGGTACGCAGCCAGGCGGCACGCGGCCGCGAAGGGGGGGGGGGGGCAGGCGACTAGGGCCAGCGGACATGGCTACAGCAAGTACGGACGAGAAGTGCAGGTCATGGGCAGATTTAGGTTGTTCAGGTTGTTTGGATTTGAGTAATTTCGGCCAGTCATAACCATTCCAGGGCTATGGCACGAAAAAGAGTGGATAAAAATAAGGCACACCTTCACGCACTTGCGAATCAATCCCAACCTCATTTGAGGATCTTGGGGATCAGCATAAGCCCGCACAGGGATCCCAAGCGGGGTATGTGCTGGGCGCTCGGACGCCCCCCCCCCCCCCCCCCCCCCCCCCCCCCGACAGGAGCACTTCCACCCTCTCATGGCTAGTGTGTATAGCCTGCCTGGAATAAACGGGGTGTCGTGAGGACACAGGACACAGCGAACATGAGGATAAATGGGAGAACGTGCGCAGGGACGGACAGCTCTTAGCATAGCTGTTTAGGTGGTCTTGGGACAGCCATCGCCTTCCACTTGCATTCCGGCGTCGGTTGAGGAGACGACCTGGCCGCCCCAGCGCGACAGCTTCGGAGACGACCAGGCCGCCCCAGCGCGGCTGCCTCGGAGACGACCAGGCCACCCCAGCGCGACTGCTTCGGAGACGACCAGGCCGCCCCAGCGCGACTGCTTCGGAGACGACCGGGCCGCCCCAGCGTGACTGCTTCGGAGACGACCAGGCCGCCCCAGCACGACTGCTTCGGAGACGGCCAGGCCGCCCCAGCGAGGCTGCTTCGGAGACGAACAGGCCGCCCCAGCACGACTGCTTCGGAGACGACCGGGCCGCCCCAGCGTGACTGCTTCGGAGACGACCTGGCCGCCCCAGCGCGACAGCTTCGGAGACGACCAGGCCGCCCCAGCGAGGCTGCTTCGGAGACGACCAGGCCACCCCAGCGCGACTGCTTCGGAGACGACCAGGCCGCCCCAGCGCGACTGCTTCGGAGACGACCGGGCCGCCCCAGCGTGACTGCTTCGGAGACGACCAGGCCGCCCCAGCACGACTGCTTCGGAGACGGCCAGGCCGCCCCAGCGCGACTGCTTCGGAGACGACCAGGCCGCCCCAGCACGACTGCTTCGGAGACGACCGGGCCGCCCCAGCGCGACTGCTTCGGAGACGACCAGGCCGCCCCAGCACGACTGCTTCGGAGACGACCGGGCCGCCCCAGCGCGACTGCTTCGGAGACGACCTGGCCGCCCCAGCGCGACTGCTTCGGAGACGACCGGGCCGCCCCAGCCGGGAGGGTAGCCGAAGCCAGGCGGTGCGTCTGTACGTCTTCTTCGCGTGATACTGACAGACGCTGGGTGTTGAGACAGATACGCAGACGCGGCACCAGCACGAAACTTCGTAAAATGGCTCCAAACATTTGGCCCGTTTTTTCCTCGAAGTTGAGGGGATGGAAACCCCTCTAAATCAAAGGGGAGTACAGCCCCGATCGGCGCGCAGTACGGATTTATTTTCCTGACATCCTGTGAAAGGTTGCCTGCGCGTAACAGGAATGGCTAGATACCATTAACCGCAATAGGGTAAACGGGTTACAAAGCAAAGAAAAACGCGCGCACACGCACGCATGCGTTAGCGCGCACAAACATAGCGCCCCATGCAAACAGAGCGAGGAACACACGGCTGAGAAGTTCCAGGCCAGCGTCTGGAACCTTTCACCGACGTACTGAGTGGTGCGACAACTGGGCATTACCCGGGGACTGGGGAATTTACTCGGTTGCAAATATGGCGCAGAGCCTACACGAACACTAAGTGCAGTGCCAGGCAAGAGGGTTTGCCAGTACCACAACCGCACCCGACCACGACCATACCACAATGATATGAGGTCATCTATGACGTAGTTCTATGCGATTACGACCATCGCATGCACAGATGCTTAAAGTGGCTAGACAAACGCAGTCAACCGCTGTTGTCGGTACTCTAGGTTCACTGATGCCACTCAGTTTAGCCAGCTGACGCGTCACACTTTCGGGGCCATTCTGCATGTGCCGGTTCAGTTGCTAATTGAACGCCAAAAACCAGGGAAGTCTATGTTACGAAAAGAGGGAGTGTAAAGATTTCTTCGCCACATCCTGGGAACTCAGATGTTCGATTTCGTGGAAAAATTCCACTGATATCTTTGTCTACTAGGGTACATAAAACATAAGCCAGACTTGCTTTGGTTTTATTCACCTCGGCGAAATCATATATTCCATGTTCATGGACTGTGACCAACTCGCTTTTGTTGTAAACGGCAAGTCAGTTCCGACCTTTAAACAGATTTTGCGCACCAGAACGGTGTCCTGATTTTGCTTTTCCTAGAACGACCGATCTTTCATTACAAGAATTAGCTTTTTCAACGTCAGCTTATCCAGAACGACTGAAATATTACGATCCTTGCGCTTTGACTTCAGTCGAAACGCTATGAATCAACGCCTGGTCCCATGAGGGGACCAATCCCTCGTACTCGCTTTCCATCGTAGCTGGGTTGAAGACAGAACATCACAAAAGGCGTGATGAGATGGCGAAATTGAAGAGAAATGAAGAAAAAAATGAGATGGCGAAGATTCTCCCCCCGGCGAAAGGAGAGAAACCGCATGAGTGAGAAGAGTGTGTCCCAACTTTCAACCCACTTACAAACCACGTATGCGTAGGTTATCTTTTTGAAGGTATTGTGCTTACTTCAAAAAATTTCATGGCTAAGTGGTATATTTCTGCGCGAGATTTCTCCGATCATTCAGTTTTCTTTTTATGATAAGAACTTACCATTTACAGCTCTAATAATTCTGCAAAGTTTCAACTTTAGTATGGTTCCAGACGGACAGAACAAACAAGCGAAATGCACTTTTGACTATGGTGGTGTTTCAGTCAAGAACTCTTACGTCTAAAAACGTGCAAAAAGGCTTAAGCGTAATTGTTCGAGCCTTCCTGGGACTAAAAAAGGTTTTTGGAATTATTTGTAGCCACCCATTCGGACAAAAATTTACCGAAAATACTTTTACAGATCCGATTCCATTGAAAGGAATGTTTACCACAACGGATACCAAAATCCGAGTGGACGAATATGACTCGTCGAGCACAGGGAACGTTAAAAATGACGCCTGAGGGAAAAAAGACATTAGATCACTTCCACAAAACGCATATCCACCACCTCATACATAACCGTATGCACCATGCTAAACATGGCTTTGGCCACCTCAGTTTAAGCCACGTGGAAAGGCTGCTTCGAGATGCTTCTCACAGCCTGTGCATAACAGTCATGGCCACATGACGCTGAACATATCGTCATTGATAGTAACTAGCATTGCATAAAATGAACTCTGCCGTGGCGGCAGGCCTGGAGCGGGTGGTGCCCGGTGGTGGGCTGGGCCGACATCCTGTCCATTGAACGCTGTCGGCCGGGGCACGTCGCCGTGCGGCTGCACGCTGGCGATAGGTCCCTACGTGCCCAGACGCCGTCCTCTGTTCACCGTTCCCAGCTGATGGACAGGCGGCCGGACCAGCAGGACAGGGTTGGAGGACAGGCAGCCGAACCAGCAGGACAGGGTTGGAGGACAGGCAGCCGGACCAGCAGGACAGGGCTGGAGGACAGGCGGCCGGACCAGCAGGTCAGGGCTGGAGGACAGGCGGCCGGACCAGCAGGTCAGGGCTGAGGACAGGCGGCCGGACCAGCGGGTCAGGGCTGAGGACAGGCGGCCGGACCAGCAGGTCAGAGCTGGAGGACAGGCGCGGCATGGTCGTAGCTGACCGGGCTGAGCGGTGCCGATGCCGAGCGCCGGGTTCGCCCAGCGGCCGGCCGCCGGGGAGGGCTGGTGTCAAGGATCGCCGCCGCCGCTGCGGCTGGACGCGGCCCAGACTGCTGCGACCATCGGCCGGCCCGATGGTTCCTCAATTTGGCAAGCCGCCAGGACGGTCAGAGGCGCACGACGCGACCCGGGGGTAGGGGGCACGGGCTGCAAGTCACGTGCGCTGGTCAGCGGTCACACCGCCCGAGGCGTGCACTTGTCGGAGCCCGCGCGGTGGCCCCTGCAAACTAATCGGGAAGTGTTGGTATCTTTTGCAGGCTTAGGTAGGTGATAAATGTGTGCCCAAATCAGCCTAATATCAATGAGTAGCAAATTACAAATGTTGTCATCGCCACATGCTCTGAAACAAGAAACGCGCCGGGAAATACCAGAGCACTCCCGGTACCCGCGTTATGAAAGATTCTGCACTAGTTTTGGAGAGGCGTTCAATTCTCGTGTTAACTGCAAGTTGAGCTCGAAGAACCTGTTGTTATGGCACTCACAACTGCGCCAGAATAAACAAGCAAAATAATAAAACAACAGAGCAGTCCCGAAGCGGGAATACTGGTGCGCTAGCTGCTACCATAAAACAGCTCAGGGCCAAAGCTATCACCAGCTACACGATGCAAACACTGACGGGTGGCCGTCATCAGCCGAGCGTTGACGGCGTCACGCCTCTGGTCGCCGGCCTCCGCCCTGTTCGTCAGAGCGCGCAGTCAGCACGGGCTGATGCCCTGCGCGGAGCCGGAATACGGAAGCCCCGTAAGTAGACGGTAAAGCCCAGTTAGGAGTCAGAGGGGCACGGCGAGGTCGCCACACCGGCCTCGCCATGTCGCGTTCGCGCACGTTACCGAAGACTGCGGTAAGTCAGGCACCGTCACGCACGCGTGACGCGACCACACTTTGCTTTGCCAGCGTCCGTCATGGCGGACCCCCCCCCCCCCCCTCATAGCCAACTGAATGTCTCCTGAACTATGTCCTTCCCTCCAAAAGAACTGCTGTTCAAAAATGATTCCGTGGCAGTTCTATAATGCGGTTCATTTCAGTTGTCAGTTGAGGAGAGCGTGTTTTGTCAGCGGACTTTCCGAGGTATGCGTGGGACACCCTGGGCGCGGGACAGCTCTGGCGGCTGGCCGCCTGCGGGCGGACGGTCGACTGGCGTGGCGCCGCGCATGCCCGGATCATAACCCGCCCGCTGAACCCGCCAGGCGCGGGCCACGTCGGCTGGCGTAGCGCCGCGCATGCCCGGATCATAACCCGCCCGCTGAACCCGCCAGGCACGGGCCACGTCGGCTGACGTAGCGCCGCGCATGCCCGGATCATAACCCGCCCGCTGAACCCGCCAGGCACGGGCCACGTCGGCTGGCGTTGCGCCGCGCATGCCCGGATCATAACCCGCCCGCTGAACCCGCCAGGCACGGGCCACGTCGCCTGGCGTGGAGTCGCGCATGCCCGGATCATAACCCGCCCGCTGAACCCGCCAGGCACGGGCCACGTCGGCTGGCGTGGCGTCGCGCATGCCCGGATCATAACTCGCTGAAAACTGACCCATGCTACAATGTATCCATGCGCTTGGTATTATTCAACAAGTTAACGTTCCAAGACGTTCAGTCATTTTTTGTTCCATCAGTTGTTTTCACAAAACCTTCCAATCCCCTTAAATGTCATTAGTCATATTGTTTGCTATGTTCAATGTTCCAGGAGATTTGTTATGCATTGGAACATCATTAGCATATATGTAGCGGGCAGGTTTTATTTCCAAAACTTTTCATAATATTTTTCCGGACCTTTAGGTGGTGTTAACTTTCAGTTTGTGCTCTTCTTCAGTGTAAATGAAAAATTGGGTTCGTCTTTGAATTATTAATGAGCAAGGAAGACTGTAGAGATCATCACATGGCGAAAAACTTAATTTCCTTAAAGAATAAAAGGGCTGGGAAATGTTCTTGCGGGCACTGCAGAAGGCTGGAAAGCTGACAAAAGACGGTGAGAGGCGGCTGCTGATTTGAACGGAGGTTTTCACATTTGAATACATTGAAGCAAGCATCAGATATGGTTTGACTACATCATCGTACCTTGCATAACATTGATTGAGAGCCCACTGGCGGCCGTGACATCTGGAAATTGCGCTCACGAACGCCAGACATGAAAGCCTCGATAATCATTTTGCTTGGCCTTCATCGCCGCAGACTTATCGAACGACAGGATTTGAATGACGATATCATGTCGTCATGAATGCCAGGGTGACTTGAAACACTCTCCCCGAAAAACTCTCCCCATTTTCACGGCCGTGCAGCTCAGAAGCTGGAGGGGCTCAGGGCTTAAGAAGCGCAGGGTTGTGAACAGCACCGAAAGGTCTTGAATATGTCTATTTCAGTTCAAACCCCCATATAAATGTGGAACACTCCCTCTAAGGTGAACTGCGTCGTGTTTAATGCAAAGATTGTACTTTCGTAAATATGGCTCAGTCCCGCAATGAATAAATTATTGCATATTTTGACAAAACTGCTGACATTTCGAACAGTCCAGTTGGAGAACAGTTAACCCAGCGTGCATAACTTCAAAGCAATTTCGTAACAAAAAACTAAGCGGTCTCGCTTGCTGTGCTCACCAGGTTTGTTGCCGTCTTTCTTCAGGCGTTTCGGCCTCCATTAGCTTTTTTAGTTAAATCCGTACAAGACTGCCACCTTTCATCAAAAAACTTAGTTTATTTTCTCCTGCAAGTTTTCTCTTTATGGTGCAACAATTTCTGGCTCGATTCGGCTCCGGTACGGCCCATGCGAGGCGAGTGTGTGATAGAATTACGCATTCCCCGATGGTACAGTATCCCCAGGTGCGCGCGTGTTCCCAGATGGTACCAGCAGTTTTACAGGTCATTTGTCATTAGCTCGGTTCACGGCCGAACAGTCCACGGAAGAGCAGACTACTGTAATGGACAGCACGAACTTTTGTGCATGCGTACAGGACGTTTTGGTTGTGTCGCAGTTTGTTTGCCCCGGTTAACGATGTTGCCATACACTGCGTATGTCCTGAACTTTCGCTGGCGTCATCTATATGTTATTGTGGTGTCCGCAAAACTGTTTTTAAAAAACTGCATTGGGTTCACTTCCCTTACAAATATTAATCAATATAATTACTTAGTAGAAAGTCGTGTACGCACCGTTCTTTTCCGAAACGAACAGACGCAACCAATTAGCCCAAGCTGCAGAAAATCCGGAAACCGGGAATCACGCTTCATCAGCAACGACAATTTTGTGGCCAAGAATCTTCTGCCCAATCCCAAAGGTTCGTTCCTTCCCCTCCCCTTTATTCCCGACGGGCAACATTTCGCATTAACCTTATGACAGTGCAAGAGACGAAACGAGACAAAGCACGATGCACGTCTGCCTGCCGAAGCGGTAAAGCGGCTCGGCGTACAAAGGTTCGCCGCTACTGGCTGAAGCAGTACGGCGGCTCGCTTACAGAACACATGCCACGCATCCGATATGTAAACGTTAATCAGTAGCACTTGTGTTGGGGTCCCTTCCGAAAACATACCCACAGTGAGATATCATGGCACAAGTATGTTAAATTTTGGTATTTCTTGGTGTTTTTGGCTCCAAAACATTCCATTCTCCACAAATAAATGCTGGAAAGAATGTAAACATTGTTCTCGGTGTACAACGTGAGATGAAAATGAGTCGGTCTCGAAGATTCGACAGCGCCGGATGCTACCCTCACCACTACTAATCAAGAGATGCTGCTCGCGGGTTTCAGTCAAATATTTTTTTATGAAGTCACGCCCAATCTTTCCCGACAGTGCACTCAGTGCCCAGATCCGATCGTGCTCACCAGCTTAACCACCTACCTTCTACCGACGACACTACCGAGCTCTGACACCGGTCTCCGGGCCCGCACTCAAACCCGCCCCCCCCCCCCCCCCCCTGGCGGGGCAGATATCCAGGGTGAACGGAGAACACATGCATGCCATTTCAAACATGAATTTTTCATGTTGTGCCCCGGGGGAATAATGGAACATGCGCACAACATCTTAAGCAACGGTTTCGATCACTCTAAATTGGCGTAGCCCTTAAGAATAAAACTTCAAATAGAAACAGCTTTACATCTGCTGCACAACTTTAAAAAAGTACGGTAGATGTGGGCATACATTTAGGAAGGAAGCACTTACTAAGGAAGATGGAAACTTTCAAAATTAGAAGCTTCCCATCTTCAAAGATTTTTGGAATCACTCAGACCAGCTAGCGCATGATTCTTACTCTTCAGTACTGCTAAAGATGCTGTTCAATGCCAAATGTGTAAATTTACCCAAACAATTTTGTTCTCACTCCAAGCTGCGATTTTTTTTTTTTTTAATTGGCCTCACCCAACAGACAAAATCATATTTCAGGCACTGTATGGTACGCTGTCCGATGCAACTGGCTGAGGCACCTCGTCGAGTCGGAGCACAAACGGCACATTGGTCATAACACAGCGCGTCAATGTCTGGACTCTGATTCCCAGATAACGATAAGACATCAGCAGCGCAGTGGCCGCTTCAATACCCGACCGCAACGTTTCTCGCAGGGGCTGATACGCTAATAACGCATGCGGTGCGCGACGTTACCACGACGCAGGCCATTTAAAGTGAATTGGAAGACTCCACCCACGCGCCAAGGTGACGTCACAGCCCGCGAGTGCCGCGGGCGCCAGCTCTGTTTCTCAGAACCGAGCCGAAAAAAGCCCGCCTCCATTTCGCAGAAGTCCCGAAAGTCATTCATGTCACATCCGACCTGGCCATGATAGCAGCGCCATGGTCCCCCTTCCAGCACTGCACGGCCAATCCGGTAACAGGGACCGGGCCGTGCCCGAGCCTAACCAAGGCGGCTGCGGCGGCCCGGCCCGACCGCCCGCCGCTCCCGCCCAGCTGCACTCACGTCTCCTGTTTGGTGCAGACGTTGGGCCCTTCCAGCGCCAGCGCCGAGCCCGTCATCGCCAGTAGCAGCAGCAGCAGCGGCGGCAGCAGCGACAGCGGTGTCCGCGGACTGTCCGCAGCCATCCTCGCTTGTCGTTCGCCACACTAGCACGGCTACTCCGCCAGCGCAGCCCACTCGTCACCTTCCTGCTCCACCGCACTGGCGGCGCGACTCTCACTGGCGTTCGCCCAAGCCCCTCGCTGGCAGCGCTGATAACAACGGCCACCGGGCCGCCGCGCTGCTGCGGCTGCCTCTCGCTCCGTGACGTCACAGGAAACGTCACCGGACCCGGAGGGCAGAGGTGTGAACGGCCTACTATAAACCCTCCATCCACGCCGCCAGCGCTGCGTGCGTGCCGTGGTCGGCAAGGTGACGTCGCCAGGGCCTGGCGGTTTACGTGAAAAGTCTGGCAGAATTAAGGTTCTAATGGCAATGACCTGTTAAATTCGGTTATGATGGATGAGATAGCGGTGTTTTACAGGTTTGACTAGGCATTCCTGCTCAGATTATAACGCAGTGATCACATTTTTGCCTGCTTTTGGCCGTGCGTTTCTGTGTTTGACGTTTGACCTTGAGATGCACAGGGAATCCCGACGGTGTTACCAGCCAGCGAGAGTGCCTGAGTAGTGGTGCGATGTGCCGGGTCACTCCACGGCAAGTCGGTCATGTTTGTCAACACACACACACACACACACACACACACACACACACACACACACACACACACACACACACCAGAGTTTTTCATCTGGGTTGTACAGAAATAGCAAGATTCCGCGAATGTAGATTGAAGATCGAATGAGTCAATAAGTTGTTTTAACATGGCCATGTTTGTCTGGGTATCATCAGCATTCAATCAGAATTGGTTTGTGGTGCGAATTATGTAACGTAGTTCTGAACATGCGTTCTCCTGCAGCTAAGAAACAAAAAACTCGACGTCAGGAGTTGCAATCCCCATAGGCCGCGCAGCGCCGGCCTCGTCGTAGGGAGCTAGAATGGTTTTTGAACCAGGGTAGGAGTGAAAAATTCCATCGCAAAAAGACCGTGCAGGAGCGAAAAAATCAATTCACAAAAGATGGAACTTATGAGCTCGTGACTGATGCTTCAGCAAGCAAATACATCTATTTCAAGTTGGCATGGACGTAATATCATAAAACTGAGAAAGCTTTTTGGTTTTTAACATCTTAAGCCGTTGAAGGGAAACGGAATGCACTAAAGCATAGTAATTTCATGACAGCGTAATAAGCATACGCAATTAATAGCGCCAATAATTTGATGCTGTGCTTTGCACTTTCCTTCCACAGCACTTTAACAAAAACAAAGCAAAGGAATTCAATAACAAAATAACAGAAAATTCAACAAGCATAAAATACTAAAAAAAACCTGGGACTCCTACACATCAGCCCATCACCAAGTCAAACAAAGTAGACATGCCTCTGGCTTTTGTTAAGATGAGGTCGGGGAAAACAAACATTTTGTCACTGTTTCTTACAAAATACTAATGCTTATCCCATGGAAATAGCCTATATTATGCCTAACGTAAAAAGACCTTACTTCATCTCATCCTGTCTAACCTGTTTGTATCACAGCAGCAGTTGTTACTGCTTCTTGCATAATTGCTATTGCCACTTGCCATGCACTTAGCTAACTAAACCTAAATTGTCTAACTTAGGGTAGCCCATATGTTGTACACCATCTCAACTCACCTATCTGTTGACAGCAGCACTTATGATAAAAACATGATATGGGTAATTTGGCTGGTTTCAACTTGCATTTTTATTTAGTTCATTTGTGTATGCTTGTTGACATCAGACAAAGTTAGCAACACACAAATCAAAATACTTGAAATCACTCTGAACAACTTATTTTCATTACCACGGCTAACCTATTTCAAAGGCAATAATGGGCATGCTTCACAAAACAATCTCTCTTCTCCAAAAGTAGCATAACCTTTAGATGGCCATGTCCAGTATTGCTGCTTGCCTTTTAAGCTGCAGCAAAGGCATCCATTCAGGTTTGCTTACTCATATTTAATGACAAAGTTTGACATGTTGGCTTTACATTTTAAATGGGATGGTCTGACTATGCGTTGCATACTAATACTTAACTCATATTATAATGGCTATGCAGCTTAGAGTGTCCCTGTGTTAAAAATATAGTGCATATACACAGTACATTCATTTGTCTGCCAGCGAACCATGATAACTATAGAAAACATCTGGTTAAAGCAGCCATGAGGGACCACTTCAAGGAATTTGGGTCAAATAATCAAGAATATGAAACAAAATTAGCCCATTGCACGCCCTGATGCATCATTACTTGTCTTATGACAAAGCTCGATGGATTAAAACAGAAAATGGCTAACTCTGGTTACCAATCATGTGTTGAAAGCAGGTAAGGTAAGCAATTACTTGGTCCACAGAAGACTTACTGGTTTCTTCCTGCTCCCCCAAGACAAAAAGTCAGAACCTTTTGCATGGTCTGCTGGCAGACAGAGTAATCACACTCCCCCCCCCCCCCTGCCCCTCCTCTAATATAAATAGCAATCATGCCCACCAACCTACGAGAGTAAATGCGAAACAAGTAAGAGTTATGCACGATAAACATCTCCAGAGGGCAGAATTTCGCCACCAAGCACTTCTGTATTAGCTGCGTCAGGTCTGTCCCAGAGCTCTGTATGGCAGCATTAGGGTGGCCTTGTCAGGTGGCCTGGTGAGTTAGACACCCGAAAGGCTTAGATTTGTCATTATTGAGCACCGCCATGAACCAAGAAAACGGCTAAACGAGGATTTAACAGGGCAAAAATGGCGGTAAAAGTAAGTTCCGTGCTTCAAATTGTCTCCTTCATTCCCTGTGAATTGTTCACTCTTGGGTGCATATCAAACATGTTTGGGCGGCTGGCGAATTAATCCAATTTATGTATGAGATACGTACAAGTTTGCAGTTGGAGAACCTTGCAGAGAAATTGTTCAACATTTTAAGCAACAGATGGTACCTCTGAAGGCAATCCAAAAGAAAGGAAGAATGAAGTGGTATCACACTTGTATGATACCAATAAAAATAAAAGTAGCTAAACAAATATGAAGCCTCATACGTTTCTGGCAAAACTTTGTGATCAGCTGATTTGACTTAAAATGTGTTAAAATAAGTGCTCAAATGGTGATATTCATCTTGTAAATCTAGTTTGGAAGAAATGTCTTGAATCCTTCACTCCTGCATTTCGGGAGTGATGCAATTTAGTGGTCAAGTTTCCTCGGGAGAAAAGGAATTCGTGGAGTAAAATTATCTACCAGGCCTTGCTGGTGTTTGCACTAGGCCCTGCTTTCGTGGTGTGGTAGTGAGGCGAAAAAATAGGGGATGCGTGAAAACCTTGCATTTGGCACACAGCTGCCGATTGTGATGCATTTTGAAACAAACCAAACTTAATGCCTGCAAGCGGCTGGAGTCGCTGGGGTTCTTGGGCTTGGAGGTACCTGGCGCCCTTGCTCTGTGCATACATAGACATGATTCAGATGTAGGTGAAGCAGGACATAGCCCTAGGTGTCCAGGTTCTGCGGAGCCTCGTTTATGCTTGGTGGTTTCAAGTGAGCTCAGTTTTGGATGACATTTGAAAACCTCAGGAGGGGAAATAGGGGTTTGACATGTGCGATTAGACAATGTCAGGCGGTAGTGAAAAATTCACATAAGATATGGGGAAAGGGAGTGAAAAATTCCTCCTCATAGGGCGTTGCTTTATACCTAAACTCGGCAATTCTAGGACACTGCTTCGTGGTTTACACTAGGCCGTGGTCAACTGGTAAACGAAGACAATGACGCATCTGAAACCTTTGCGCGCTTTTTGACACCAAATCGTGCACTCAGTGATATTGAGGGCGTACATTTCACCTGTACGGTTTTTAGGACTGACAATAACGCAGTGGTCCTTACAGCGCCCCATAGTGGTACTGTGATCTGGTGGTGCAACTCGACGAATGGAGGTAAAATTTCTAGCTGTGTTGCTGTTACTGTAATCTGTTCAGAGGACATCCTCAGAATTGTAAAAAATCGCCCGTTGTAATCTTTGAACCGTGCGAATTAATTGTGAAAGACATTCAGAAACATTACTTTACTATGGCCCTTGTTGCGCGCTCGGCGCCCACCCTCTGGCGTTACTTGCTTGCCAACGCCGCTCAGTTTTACTAAAACTGCAACCCAAAACATCGATATCCCTGCTCCCCCAGCTTACGGCCGTGTCAGTGGGGCTTTATGACGCACTCAGCTCCCGGGAGCCAGCAGAGCCAGCCTGGGGCTTAATGGCGCCGCCAGCCTCTCACCCTGGCGGGAAGGGCGGGCACCACGGGGAATCGAACTCCGTTCCTGTGGTTTCCCAGACGCGCTGAGGTTAACGCAGGCGCGTGAACTACTACACTTCTGGCACCCGGCGCACAGGCCCAAAGATTTTGATGGTAGTTTATTTCCAGAGAGCTAGAATCGCTTTTGAACTACGGTGGGAGTGAAAAATTTCATCGCAAAAAGACCGTGCGGGAGTGAAAAAATCACTTCACAAAAGATGGAGCTTATGAGCTCGTGACTGATGCTTCAGCAAACAAAGACATCTATTTCAAGTTGACATGGACGTAATATCAGGAACCTGACGAAACTATTTCGTTTTTTTACATCTTAGGCCATTAAAATGAAACGGAAACATTAACACGCGCTTGGGTGGGGGTGGGGGGCAAATTGACCCCCCCCCCCCCAGGACTTTTCCCGAATGTTTTCTGAACGGCGCGGCGTAGTTGCGCCAAATTTTCGCGTAGCTGTAGCAAATTGCATAGTGGATCGTTTGACGTACAAATTTTAGATGTACCTTGCAAGGTCGCTGACCTATGACAGGTTAAAGTCAGCCCATGGTTTCAGCGAAGGCAATTTCTGGGGAATCGTTCAATCTGATACAACAACGGAGTGTTTGACGAAGACATGCATCTCTGAGATGCCTTCTTAGGCACAACAAATATTGAATGAGCAAATTACGTTGACCTAAGGTCAGGTATGATGGTCAGACCAAAGTCAAAACCAACCTTTTTTATAACTCCAGGGCTTGACGTATGGAATAGTTTCTGGTGCTCATTTCGAATTTATTGACAGCAGGAACCGCATTAAACATCTTCAATTGACTTCCTAGAGGTCAGAACAGGCCGTTGACCTAAGATGACCCGGGTCGAACG